CATAGTAGTATTATAGAATTTTATTTCTATTTTTGTTATGATAAAACAAAATAATAATATAAATAATAATATTAAAATTAAAATAAAATTTTATGTTCCGGACCCCTTAAAAATTATTTCGTTTTTTAAACAAAAAAATTGAATTAAAAAATAAATTTAGAGGGTTCGGAATCACCTTATATAAACAAATAAATTATGTAAATAAATCATTATTATTAAATAATAAAATTTAAAATAATTATTTTCAAAATTTTTCAAAAAACCATAAAAATGTTAATAATAATAAAGTGAAGAAAGCAAGTTTTGACTTTGATTTGTTTTCGTTCTCTTATACGCGAGTCCTGCTAGCAAAACTAAATCTCTTATGGTCGAGTGGGTTAAGTGAAACCACCGGAAAATAAGGTTTTCTTTTGCTTCTCTTTATTCTCGTTCATGGGGAGTGAAGGGGAGGGGGGGGGGGATTGTAGACTTTTCTTAAATATGAAGAAACCACCACCACTTTTTTTTATGTGCAAAAATTTTCTATATAATAAAAATTATACATATATATATATATATACGTTTTTTAAGCGTTAAATATCTATATTATAATATTCATAAAAAGAATTATTTCTTTGACCCGGTAATACAAAGTTTTTTAATTAGGAACGTCATTAATAAATACGAAGCCTTTGACTAGCTAATTATTAATTAACTCCATAGAATCTTTTTCAACTTTTGCATAGAGAAAAATCATATCAACATCCGTTAAGATAAATAAAAAATTAAAAAAAAAAAAATATTACATATTTTATTGAATATCAAAAATAACATAATTGTGAGAATAAATTTTATTGAATTAAATTTTATTTATTTTGACAAATTTATCTTTTTGTGAATATTTAAGAAAAATAAAACAATTTTTAATAAATCAAAAATCAGTTTTTAAAAATTCTTATTTTTAAAATGTGTTAATTTTTTCTTTTTCTAATGAATTAATAAAATTAATTAACAAATTTGTTATTATTAAATATAAAAGTAAAAGCTTAACAAGAAAAAAAGGAGAAAAAGAGAGTGAGAGAGAGAGAGAGAGTTGATGAAAAGCTTTTAGATATTCGGTCGTGGAAAATATTCAGACTCAGGAGTAGAAACTTCATTAACTCATATATAGATCTCTTTTGCAGAACGTTTCTCAAATGAAATAGGTTTCTCTAATAGAAAGTAAATTTTACGACTGTGAGCTTAAGGAAATATTGCAGAAAATTTGATCGTATTTGTCCGCTTCTCATATAGAAAAATGTTTGGTTAAAATGACAAAAAAAAAAATAGAATTCAATTTTTACATTTTTTTTTTTCCAAACAAGAATATTAAGTGGAATTTTGAATTAAACTGTATATTTCACAAACGACTGATTATTTCTCTTGATTAAAAACTTTTTTAATCTCGACGAGAAAATTTTCTCTGAACAACTTTCTTTTATATAATTTATGTTTACAACATATAAATGTTAGAAATTATAAATATTATTATTTTTTCATTTAAATATAAAAAAAACGCCACGTCAAAAAAATACAACTAAATTTTTTTTGTAATAAAATTTTTCCAATAAATTAAAATATTTACCTTAATAACGAATTTTCAAACTTCGAGGAGATTTTCTTTCAAACTAAATAGCCCTAGGAGATCCCTACTTTCAAGTTAAATTTCCATTTGGAAAATGTGAAAAATAACCGTAAAAATAGACCGAGTTCTAAAAAGTCTGAATATGAAGAATTCTGTGTCCTTAAGATATCCTTTTTTTACTTTTGCCCTTTGAAGTACGTGAGATATACCACAAGCCAGGATAGAATCTGCAAACAGAAAAATTAAAATTGTTAGCGCTGTAGTAACATGTAGTTAAATTTTTAACCAGTCGGTAATATAGAAAACTATAAAAAAAATTATTTCTAAATTTGATAAAAATAAGTGTGGCATATAGTAAAGTAGAATAACACAAAAATCTTGAAAATATGACTTATAGTTTATTTATTAGTTAATAAAATTTTATAATTAAAAAAATCGTTTTTCTACCTAAAGGACCTTTTTTTCTGTATAAATATAAATAAAATAGAAAAATAGGATTAAAATTCTAGTCTCGTGTTTCTATTGAATAAATAACAGAATATAAACTTTAAATTCAATGACAATATAAAGGAAGAATTCCATTTTTCTATATATTATTATTATTATTTTTCTTTTTTTTCAAGTTCCCTCTTGACTGACGCAAATCTTTGCATTTTACTATGTTCGAATGTTGAAGTACGTGAACGGAATCGAATTGATGGGTCGCATTGAAATCCCTTAAGGGCATAGTTGGTTGCAGGGAAACCACAGGAAACCATGTAGCTTCATGCTCTGATCTCATGATGTCTCTGACATATATATATATATATATATATATCGAAATAGATCATCCCTTTATTGATTTCCAAAAAGGACTATATTCAAATCGACCCTTTCTTTTTCTCTCATATATGACAATCAAAATTCCCTAACAAAATAAATCTCTTTTTTATTCTCCCATCATTTGTATATAACATTCATATCAAATTATTTTATATCTATAAATAAATATTTTTTACCTCTCCATAATTTTAACCAAAAAAAAAGTTTTTCTCTTTTAAAAAATAAATACTTTATTTTTTTTCAATTTCATTTTTTTTTTATATATTCCTTTTTTAGTTATAACTTTATAAATATATACGAAAAATTCAAATATAGATTTAGAAAATTCAATTTATTTGATAAATAAAAAAGGGAAAAAAAAATTCTATTCATCTTCTATGCATTTTTTTGTGTGACAATAATTTACAATCAGAATTGCTGGTATTTTTTTATTTTTTTTTTTTATTTTCCATTTGGAATCCCCAGGTTGGGAATAACTTTTGATAAGCTTTCGATTAATTGAAAGGATAAAATAAAAAGCCGAAAGAAATATATTGACTTTTTTTTGTTATACAAATTCTATAGTCACTGTAAATATTAAAATTAATATATCGAAATAATTTTTTATTGTTATTATTTTTAAAAAAAAATTTTTTAAATTATCGTTTCAGATTAAAAAGATTTTTATTGCACCTATATATATTAAAGTGAAATGATGAAAAATATCTTTAAATTTATGTATAATCAAAGAGAGATTTCTAACTTTATGAAATTGCACTTATTCTTTTATAGGTTATCCGTGCGCTAATAAATGTTCCGTAATTTTGGAAACCTTCAGAGGACCTTTATAGTACTTCCGGAATAGCATTCCTTTCTATTCTTTATTTTAATTTCACCAACGTTCATTCTTATTTTATTTCATTTTTATGTGACTTCTTTTTTTCTTTCCTTTTTTTTACTTGTAATTTACATTTATATCTTTGACTTTTAAGTTGTTTAAATGAACTTCATATTTAGGGCAATGAAAATGTAAAATTTTTAAATGAATTTTTCATGACAAAAATGTCTTCACTCCTCTCTCTCTCTATTTTTCACCATTTATTCCAACAGGAAGTCATTTCAAAAAGAGAAAAAAAAAATTGCAACAGACTTAGAGAAATATTATTGCACAAAAGGATTTTAAAATAATCACAGAAAAATAAAATAAAATAAAAAAAAAAACAATGAGACTTAAAGGAAGTTGAAAAATGATGTTTCTTTACGCGCGCAAAAAATACGAATATTTTCATAAAAATTAGATTTTATTATTTAAAAAAATAATTATATATTTTCATCAATTTTTAGTATAATAATTAATTATTAAAAATTTTGATTTTTAAATAGAAATTATAATTTTTATAATAATTTTTTATTAGAAATAATAATAAACTTTTAATTTCCTAACTGGCTTACAATATTTTTTATAATATTATAAGTATTTTTATTCAATTTCCCATCATGTTTGTAATATAAAGTGAAGGATAATAGGCTTCAGGCAAAATATTACATGCATGCTTTGGTGTCTAGCAAAAAAACATTCATGAAAAAAATTTCAAGAGGTCTTAAATAATGCATTAAAAATATGAAACCATATAAATATTTAAAGGTGCACTATAAATTTTTTTTTTAATTACTAAAATGTTTTATTTTTAAACTTTTTTTTAAATATTGTTTTAAAATCAAAATATATTTTGGTGTTACATTTTATTTTTTATTTATTTAAAAAATTCTGTTTTAGTTTATTTAATTATTTTGCATTTGTTTAAATATGAATATATGCCAAAAAAAATCACAAGCAAAGTATACATATTTAAATAAATTTCAGTGTCATTTTATAAATTTTTTAACTCGCGGAATATCCTGAATAATTTTTATAAAAAATATAAAAAGAACTAGCAAAAATTTACAGATAAATTATTAATACTATTTATTATATAATATATATTTTTTTTTATTATATCTTTTCTATAATTTTAAAAATTAGTCGCCAGTTTGAATTTCGCGCTCTTTGGAAGAAATCTAAATTATCATTCATCGGTAAAGAAGATCCTAATAAAGTTATATAAAGCAGAAAATAATTATAAACAAAGAGGTTAAAATCAATTCTTGGAAAATTGAATCTGTTAAATAATTTTACAATACTTAACATATTCAATAAAATTATGAAAAATAAAATAAAAATCAATGAATAGCTAAATTAATAAACTATTTTTAATTGCGCGTGCTTTTTAAACAATTTTTTAATACAATTTCTTTTAAAATTTTCTACCTTTCTGTAACTGTCAAATAAAACTAATCAATTGTTATAACAATTACAAATTTAAAAAAAAATCCCCCTCTTAACAATAATATTACTCCAAAAACGTGTATGATAAATAATAAAAATTTAAACAAAAAAAAAATGTTGTCTCCTTTTTTTTCTATCCTAATAAAAATTACAAATAAAAAGGAATAAAAAATTTGTTAATTAAACAAAATAGTGGAAAAATTTTCCACGTTCACGCCCTAACTTAACCTCACCATCAAACTGACGTTTACTCCAAAATATAGAACTTGACGCATAAATTTCAAAATGGCGTCGACTCGTCCATACACAGTACGTCGAATGTGTATAAAAATATAAAAATAAATGTTTATAAAAACAAAAGTGCGCATTCAATTTAAAGCATTAAATTGGTTTTCACAACGTTAACCAATTTTATTATTAATAATGTTAACAATTAATAAATTATTAATATGACGTGAAATTAATTAAATGTCGCAAAAAACAAAGTATGAACGTTATAGACGACGCCGATGGGCCACTGGATCCCCGTATTCAGGTATTGAAATAATTTTACTCTAATTATTCAATTGAAAATCACAATTTTACCATTATTATCTTTTCTTATTGTTTAAAATTCAATAAAAATGTCCTCAAGACAAATGTCACTTTTTATCAAACAAAAATTCATTAATATTTGTTTATCGCTAACATGATACCTCCTGGCACCTTGTCCCACTTTATATTATTTTTTTCTCCATAAAAAAATTACTTAATTTTTTTTTTTTTTTTTATTTGTTTATATTTCTATTTTCATTAGCCAAAGCAAATTTGAACAAATATTGATTAGTATGAGATAATTTATTTTTTACTCTCAAAGTTCCTTTAAATTTTGATTTTAAAATTTAGGAATTATTTGGGGAAAAAAAGAAATATTTTAATTATTTATTATTTTCAAATTGAAAACGCACTTCTCACATTATTACATTATTATCTTTTTAACAATGAGTCATTAGAAACAATTTAATGGTTGTGTGTGTGTCATATTCAACCTCGACACATCAAATGTCGATACTTTGTTTTGATCTTGATTTTCATGACAAAGTATTCAAAATTAAATATTAATTTGTTTCAAGTTGAAAAATTATCAATTTTTTCCTATAAACTTTTTATCATCTATAAATACATTTGATATTAATTATCTGCTGTTATAAATTATATTATTTTTTGTTTTATTATAGCCTGAATAATTGTAGCCTATGAAAGAATAGTAATTAAAATTATGATTTAAAAATAAAATTAACTATATTATTAAATTAAAAATTTAAATATAATTTTTCGTATGGTATCATGGTACTTATCAAAAATATATCTTATGTTATAGATCGAGTTGGAGAATTTAAACAATGCAACAGATAATATTAATAAACTCGAGATAGAGCTAGATGTGAGTATCAGAGGCTGCTTTTTCATTTCATAATATGCTAAAAATAACAATCTAACTATGACTGCATTGCATATACTATCATCTCGTACAAAGCTATCATTTTGTCTTTATATATTATGAATTCAATGAAAGAAAAGGATGTCTCCAATCATTTATAATTACCACAATATTTGTATATGGAGAGTTAAAATTTCTCGTTCACTGATTTTTGCAAATATTTATTAATTAACCCTTACGCATTTATTTATTTATTATTATTATTATTATTATTATTATTATTATTATTATTATTATTATTATTGTTATTGCTATAATCACTGTAAAATGGAAGGTATTAATTTAATAACGACTTTAGATACTAAATTATCATTTGGTTCTGTTTTGATACCCAAAATCTGTACTATTTTAATACTTTCTTTTTACAGTGATTTTTATTATCATTGTTATTTAATATAAACTAATTTGTAAAAATTTTAGGAAGCTCATACAGCATATGGGCAATTGCTCACTGAAACAACGAGAAGATCAGAAGAAATGAAGATTAAAGTGGGTGTCAATTGTGTTGAAAAAGCAAGAAGCTACTACCTTGCATTAAAAGTAGCAGAAGAAGCAAATGTAAGCAACGAAAATTTTCTTTTGAAACCAAACAAAATTACTTTTTTTGATAATTTGAAAATAACGATTTTAATTTTCCTTTTTTTTAATTAAGGTACAATGTCAACGGTATACAAAATTATATTCAACAGCCAATGAAATTCATGCTGCAGCTAAAGAAACTGTAGCATTAGCCGAAGATAGATTTGTGTCACATCAACACGAGTGGAACTTTGATGAAGCATGGCAGGATACGTTGAGCCACGCAACGATCAAAGTAAGCGAATCAAATATCATTTTGAATAGAGTCCTTGATTATAGAAGAAGAAAAAAAAAATGGGTCACTCTCTTCTTCAATCATCTTTCATTTCCTTATATCATCAAAAGAAATTTGATAAAAATCAAAATCAATTGGATCAAAAAAAGAAATGGGGAAAAAATTGCAAAAAAAAAAAAAAAAAAAAAACATTTAGTTTATTTATAAAATAAATTCAGATTTTGAAAATCGATATATTTGTCGTGACGTAGAAGATTGTAACAATATGTCAATTACAGCTACTTGCGGTCAATAGATCAACGAACATTTCGCATTGTCCACAAATGCTAATCAACTACTATATACTGACGTACATGTATCTTGCTTCATTAATGGAAAGCTGCCATGTAGATGTTAATGTAAACGCATAATATCACCCTCTACAAGGTCTTAGACCTCAATTAAACAGATACCCATTGTATGAACAGAAAATTATTCACACTATTACCTATTTGGACAAAATCAATGTTCGAATTTCCACTAATTCAAAATATCACCTCAACAATAATCAAAAAATAATTTTATTTCTCATATTTAAAAAAAAAAAATTGTCTATCATGAAAATTTAATTTATCAGGTAATGGATGCTGAGAATCAAAAGGCAGCTTGCGCAAGGGAACATCATAGACGTGCAAAGCTTTTTGATGAGGCGGAAAAAAAAGTTCAGGAATTAGAAGAAAAACATCCTCGTGCAATTAATAAAGCGCGTCCTTATTTTGAAATGAGAGCACAATGCGAACAAATGATGGCAACACAAAAAGAACGTATTGAGGAATTAAATAAAAATATCAAGGAAGCAAAAAAGGCATATGCTGCTAGTCTGCGAACATTGGAAGAAATTAGTAATCAAATTCATGAACGCAGAAGAGATTATGGTACAATTATTTTTGTTTATCTAAAAAAGTTTACTATATCATACAAAATTGATTATAATTAATAATTTCAGATATTATAGCAAATGGACCACGAGAACCGGGAGTTGGAGCCGAGCTCATTACACCTGAGGATAGTTTGAACTATGAGGATTTAAATAAAGTTACAATAAGTAGAATAAATTCGATAGCAAGTAGTGATGCTGATTTAGGCGATTGTGATCAGGATTTCGATGTAAGATTCCATTTTTCTCCCTTAAATCTTTCTACTAAATAATAATAAATCCTTTTTTTCAGGATGTTTTGGAATTGAAGCAACGTGTTGAAAGTCTAGGAGGACGATCAGTTGATGGAATGGAATCCACATCAAATCAATGGGAATTGGAATTGCAAGCGAGTATGAAAAAATTAAATGAAATACCACTTGGTAAAGAAAATACCAATTTTCACAATAATGAAACATTTAATGAATTACCATTGGTTGAAAATAAATTAACAAAAAACGATAACAATATTGTAAAATTAGATTCACAAGCAACAAAATTTTCTCTAAGCTATCAAGGTTGGCAATCATTGACACAAAGTCCAATTAATTCGATTTTCAACAAATCAAAGGATGCTTTGAAAAATAGTATTTCTAAATCTCTAAGCAATAGTCCAGTAAATATGAAACAATTCTCCTTTAGTAGAGCTAAACTTGAGAAACAAATTGAAAAGCCGACAATAGTTGATAATGAAGAATCTTCAAATGTTACGAATCAGGGAATTTCTACCAATTTAGAAATAGAAACAAAATCATCAAATCAAGATAAAGACTCGCCTATTGATATTAATTCTCGTGAAAATTGTCAGTCAAATGTGGATTTGAGAATTGAAAAAGTACAAATTGCGCCAGTGCTCGATAAAAATTTTACAACTCATAGTTTAAGTTCATCACCTGTGAAAAGAAATTTTCTCTTCAATTCCAAATCGACAAAATCATTGGACATTACACGAGAAACAAATCGTGAATTTAAAAAACCAAACTGCCCATCGAAAGAGTTGCCTCTACTTTCAATTTTCCGTAATTCGTCCGGTATGTCTAAGGACAAAAGTTGTAGTATGATTGATTTAGGCGATAAACAGAATTTAAAAAGTTTATTCGAAAATTCGAGTAACAAAAATCTACAGACTGTGAGTGTCGAAAGATTGGCAAATGCAAGGCATAAATTAATGTGCGCCGATAATAATTCCGACCTAAATTCATCAATTCAATAGAGAGAAAAAAAAAAAAGGAAATAACGCCTAAATCAAGTGAAAAGAAAAATTGTGATACATAATTCTGTTTGAAAGTTTATATTTAATAGAAAAAAAAAAAACAAACTTGCCGAAGCAAACATGACACACGAACATACGGAAAAAAATATGAGGTAAATATAAATTATTGAAAATGATGATATAATTAAGGAGCGATATTTCAAATATTTATTTATAATTTCGAATTTTATGAGAATCTCGTAAAAAAGATATTTTTTAAAAAGTATCTCTACTTATAAAAAAAACATAATAATGAAGCTCAAAGCTTCAATTTTATTAGTGCCAACTTTAACTTCTGCATTATGTGCAGAATTATGTCAATAATGCCTTCAAATTGGTCTGTTTTTTTTGTAAATTTCTTTTACACAGTAAAAAGAATAACAAAATAATTATTTTAGGAAAAATGTGCAAAGATTTTCTAAAAAGAATTTCTTACATAATAATTTTTCATATTTTCCCCCAAAAAAAAATCGTGAAAATAAAAATTTGGTATAATTATTTTCTAGAATCAAAAAACAGATGTTCAATTACTTTTCGCGAAAAAATTTTTTTTAAATTGAACACCACTTTTTTTGACTATAAAATAATTTTCTTCTTGTTTACTAAAAACATAATCTAATGTCTGTTAACGTTAGATATAAAATATTATGCAAGTTAATAAAAAAAAAAAAAAGAAATATTAAAAACAGAAAATACATATTCTCAAGAAAAATCATATAAAAAAAAAAAAAAATTATAGAAAGTCGAAACTTTCAAATGTTAAAAATGTAAGAACAAATAATGATTGTGTTCTATATAAATATGATTTTCAACTATTTTTTAAACAGAAGCTATAACTTCTGATAACGAACAAAATATCTAATTTATTTTTTAACAGAATTACCAAATTTAATAATAATTCATTTTAAATATAGATGTAAATTTTACTATATTTAGAAAAAAAAAAAATTGATTCTTAAATGAAAAAAAAATTTTAACGCCTGTTACGAATATTTTCCAAAAAAAAAAAAAAATTTCTACGAAGAGATAAAATCCTTCGTTAAAAAAAATAAAATGCTCAAAATTTATGATAATTTAACTGGATTCGTTGGCAATCACTAAACGAATGATTATCTCTATGTGATAAAAAAAAAAACCCAAGCAAGTTCAACTTATATTTAAAAAGAATTCCTATAAATTAATAATTAAAATTATTAATTGAAAATTAATAATTAATAATTAATAATTGAAATTATTAATTGCGTACGTAAATTAGTTTCTAATTAAATTATTAATTTATTATTAATATAAATGATTAATAATAATAATAATAATTTAAAATTATTTACCGCAAATTTCATTTTGACAGTTATGAAAGAAAAAAAAATAGTAAACAAAACAGGTGATTTTAATTGTGTCAAAAGTTAAAATACTTCCCTAAATAATTACTTTTTCGCAAATAAAATGAATCTTTGTATATTCTTATGCTTGTGAAATAAGTTTTAATTTGAACGAGGGATCTATTATATTAAAAGATTTATACCGCTTTATCAATAATTCAACAGTTATATCTTGCCAATGCAAAAAAAAAAAAAAAAAAAATGGCACTCGTTAAAAATTCATCGACTGTCAACAAATTTCTCGGCAATATAATATATATGTAAATAGTTTTGTAATTTTAGCGCGCTTAATAAACACTGATTACTGTGTACACAAAATAGGATATAATTAATCAAAAAAAAACTGTATTTCTTCGATCTATTTATACATATTGTTTGATCATTTTGTAGTTTTCTATATATATGTGTTGAAAGCAAAAAATTTTCAACTAATATTCCCAAAAATAGTAATTTTTTTTTTATTAATTTTTAAAAAATTCATTTTTTTTCCATTTAAAAAAAAAATTACAATTTCAAAATGAAATTGAACTTTTGCTTATTTATACGCAAAATCTTCACTTCAAAAGGTTCAATTTCCATATATATTTGAAATTCGTTTCGTAAAAAAAAATAAACAAAAGAGAATTTTGTTTAACGAACTTTAAGTTATAAAATCGTTAAAAATGTTATTTCTACAAAATTTTTATCAAAAAAAAAAAGGATAATTAAAAAAAAAAATGATTACAAATTAAAAATACAAATATTAAAATTGGGAAAAATATCCAAATTTCAAATCATATATATAGAATTTTACAATTTATATTTTTCTGTAGTGCAGTTTAAATATATTTTTTATTTTGTATTGAATAAAAAAAAGAATTTTTTTTTTTTTTAAATACTTTTTATGCCGAGTGTGATTTTTTATATAAATATTAATATACATGATTCATTATAAAAGCGATGTGAAAGAAACGAAATAGTTTTTAAGATAAAACTAAGTTACTGCTATACCACTACGACTATGTGTTTGAAACACAGTGATAAATAAAAACAGCTACGTAATAATAATAATGTGTTATTTATATCTGATTGTAGTCTGATCTCTATATAAGTCTCAGATTACTGAAGCGCACACGATAAAAAAAAAAACTATTCTTTTTTTAAACTACTTTCCTTTCCACGCTTCCTGAAAATCGCATTGTCATATATATATAAAGTTTTTTTTAAAATGAAGTTTAATTGCATCAATGAATCAAAAAAGAACATAAAACTAATCTTAAAGACTTTCGTGTGTTACTGCAGAAATTTTGTGCTCTGATAAGAAAACTCATTCCCAATGTAATTTCTGTCGTTTCACGCGAATTTAATACTAAAATAACGTAAATAATTAGATTTGTTATGCAAATATCAACCAAACATTTTATTGAAAATAAAAAATATATTTTTCTTTTAATTACATCAGATTTAAAATTTTTAAAATTCTCAGTTTTAAAAAATTTTAATTAATTCATTTAATTAGTTAATTAATTCAAAAATTTTAAATAGCAGCAAAAAATTATTTTATTTAATTTTCAATATTATGGAGAATAATTTTCGTCAGCTGTCTAATTAAATAGTTAAATGAAAGATTCATTAATCCTTTATATTTACATGAAACTTTGCAAAGACCTTATAAAGAGATTAATGAGTTGGAACTAATCACAGAAGGAAAGTACGAAAACTCATTACAAAGAGCAAGTGGAATTGTGATACGAAATCCCCAGCTTTCTGAAACTGATTGGTCCTGGTATAATATTAGGAAACCAAGTGTAATTTTCCCTCTTAAAATAACTTCAATTTCTTTTAATAAAATCTTTATTTTTGTAATAAAAAATAAGATTGTTTTTTTTTTGCAATTATTTTTCAATGTAAAATTCTTTTTATTTCCTATTGAAAAAAAAAACATTTTCAACAGATTATAATTATCACAAATAAAACGAAGAAGAAAAATTGAAACAAAAGAGAATTTTTCTCACGTTTACAACTTCAAGTAGCGGAAAATCAGAGGTAACAAAATTTTTTGTCTTTCGTTTTGTCAAAATATCCCTTTAGCAAATAATTTTTAAAAGTATACAAAATACTTAATTAAAATTTTTTTGAAAAAATTCTCATAAGTCATCAAAAGAACGTTGACCTAATAAAAATTATTATATAGAATAGCAGTTTCATGGAAAATGATTTTAACATCGCCAAATTTTCTGTATAATACATTTTGTTGGTGAATTGTCAATAAATTTGTCTCTTAAATTTGAACAACACAATAATAGAGAATCATCAAAGAGACGCATCTCATCATCATTGTCCGGAAGTTCATGAGCTCAACAACTATTTTTTTTTTGCATACATACACAAGAGTTCTAGAGGTTATCCATATCTACGCAGATAACTTTTGATGACAAATCACACTCTAATAGAAATGGAAAGAACGGATCGAGTTATTAAAAAAAATACTGAGACTTTTGAAAAAAATAATTTCAAAGCACGTGATACAATTTCTCATGTGATAACATTTTTTTTTCTTTTCATTATATATATATATCGTATTTTTTTATCTACTTTCTCAAATTACATATACTATTATAATGATGCATCAATTATAAAACGAAACGTCTTTAATTAAAAAAAAAAAACCAGTTCTTCCAAGTTAGAAATTTATAAGTATCAAAAGAATTTTTGAATAATTTTGAAAATTTTGTTTAGATTCCTGTTACTCCAGTGCCAAGAACACGTTATCAAGTAAATGAGAAAAAAATGCGGGAAAATAATATGCAGAGACTAGAAACCGCCAATAATGATGAGGAAGAAGAAGAAGATGATGATGATGATGAAGATGATGATAGGTCAAGTGATCATTTAGTGAACTCGGGCCTAATTTGTGCCGCCTGTCATGTCACAGTTAGTTCCACAATTCTCAGAGATAATAACATTAATTATGAACAAGCACTTGCCTGTTCACATGGACATTTTCTTTGTCAACGATGTGTGCAACGTTTTGCGATTCGACCTGGTAAATAATTTAACAAGAATTTAATAAAATTTTCAGAAATAGCAGAAAAATCCAACAAAAATGAGTGCAGATTTTTTTGTGTGGCTGTAACACAATTATTCAGAACTACTTTTCAGTTTACTTTGATCGAACACAAAAGGAAGTACTAATCAAAAATTCCTTTTTTTTTTTTTGTAGACATAGGTTGCCTCATTTGTGCAACGGAATCACAAAATTCGACATATTCCCAAAACAATAATAATAATAATAGTTACGAATCAAGTTTGGATAATATTCAAAGTAAATCCTCTGTACAATATTTACAACAGAAACGAAAGGAAGAAATATGTCCACGAACCCATTATCCACCGACTTCATCAATTATCAAAATTCCATGTAACAATAATATAAAAATAAACTCAATTTTTGAATGGGGAACCGATCACGGTGACACAATTTACGATGCTAAAAATCCACGAAAAAGCTATTGCAATATAATAAAAAGAGAAGAATCGAATGCAGATTTAAAAATTACTTGTCATATGATCGCCGAATGTTCACGACGACCAATTCGATGTCCACGTCTTGATTGTGCTCGCACTGTTGCACTATCAGCATTGACACATCATTTTCTATTCGATCATCCCGAGGTTCCTATTTTTAATGTTGAACCCGGTGTAAACAACACTTTAATTGTCAGTTTTTCCTCACTCACTTATGGCTCATCCAAATGTCTTGCTCTTCTTCTCGTTTCCGGAAAAGTGTCGTAAGTTGCTTTATACACTCTAAATCTGAAAATTTCACTGAATTCAAATCAGTGGCTCAGTTTTCTTTAATTCACCATTAGAATTTCACTGGTCAGTAAAAACCACTGATTCTCAATGAAATTACACTGGTGAATTAAAAAAAAAAACTGAGCCACTGATTTGAATTCAGTGAAATTTTCACTGATGCAGATTTAGAGTGTACAGATTTAAAATTTAGAAACTAATTCAAATAGAAAAAATTTACTTTTTAGGGGCGCTGCAGCTACACTATTCAGTGGAAATCAAGTTCATCCAAAATATCGAAATCGTTTACCATTACCGGTTTTAGCAGCTCGATTAAAGATCATTGATCAGCTTAATTGTCAAGATGAAACAAAAGCAGGTGGAGAAGGTCGTGCATGTGGTGATATTATAATAGCCTGGATTGCGGGTCTTGATTTATCAGGCTCATCTTCTGGAGCATTACGCTGTAGTATTCAAGTAATTTTTAAGCACACTTAATTAAGGTTACCCTAACTTCTCTAAAGTATAATCAAAGGGCATTATTCCGCAGGTTGGTCTAGTTAAAAGGAAAACAAAATTTTTTTTTTCTAAATTACAGGCAGTTGACGGTCTACAATCCGAAGTATTCCGTTCGTTGACCTATTGTGGACCAATAAATTCCCTCCGACGTGCTCAACGTCCACAGGATATTTTCGCAGCTGGTGACTGTGTTGTTCTTCACGAGGGTCTCATCAATCAGCTCTCATCTAGATGCGATAATTTCATAGTTAACGCCATTGTTCACTGAAACTCTTGCTCCCTTGATGTATCGTCTTTTTCATTAGAGCCAAGTAAGTATTTTCAGTCCAAATAATTTCCTAATGAAGAGGAATTATGTGAAAACAAACATTTCTGTATAGAAAAAGTGTATATTATTCGAAAGTTATAAAAAGTACGGGATACAATATATATATATAGACTATATTAATATTATAGACTTGTCATAGCTGGCGGACGGGCATAGGCCTTGGGAATAAAACCATATTTTCGTGTTTTTGGGGCATATGCCCAAAGCCATCCATCCACCGTTTGATTTCCGAGATCAGCATAAATCCAATCAGCACGTCTCACGGATAAATCGTCCGGCGCCTGCGCCTTGTAATCATAAAGCACAACTAATTCGGTTCCTGTTGTCTCATCACGAAAATCCCTTAAATCTTTTTGCTGCAACTGTTCACTTCCAGAGACATTACCATTGCTCGCTCCTGATATTTTTCAAAAACGATTCTTTAGATTATAACTGTAAATATATATATATATTTATGTAAAAATAAATAAATTACACAAAAAATTTCTAACCTAATACATGGGAATCTCCAGGGGAAGTTGTTGTCGTTGCAGTTGTTATTGCTGCATAGGAATGAAGCACATGACCAGGATAGACAAAACCAGATGGCACAAAACCTTCATTACCGTCACAATGTCGTAGAACCCAAAACCAATCAGGATCATCACGATTCAATACAGTAACAAATTCACCTCTCTCAACACTCACATCATTTTCATCTCGTGCAACAAATGTATATAAAACAATATATCTTCCAGCCGATGGATCCTAAAATTATTCCTCAATCTTAAATAATACTCTTTAAAAATTATGTTTAATAATCTTTTTTTTTTTACCTTGAAAAATGGATGCACATCCGGTTGGGATTGCGTTGTTTGTATCGAATTTTGCGATTGTGATACATTAGAACGATTAACATTTATATCAGCAGTTGTGATATTTCTTGCATAACTTTCACAATCGGATGCAGAACCAGTATCAGTTTGTTGTGCATCCAATCCCTGTGATCTTCCTGTACTTGATAAATCGCCTTCATTATCATTCAAACGAGGAAGTTTTTTCTTTACATTGTTCATTAGTGTGGCTAATGTGGATTCAGCGAGTTGTGATGTATACGGTGCACAATACGAATGAGGTACAAAACCCTCCATTCTTGTGTCAGCCGCTATCACATAAACCCAGTCATTCTCTCTATAGAGGACATTTACAATCTGCATTGGGAATTCAAAAATAAATTTATAATTCGATATATAAAAAAAAATATCTTGTATAAGAAAATTGTGAAAAAATAATCAACCTGGCCTCTTTTGACTTGAAGCTCATCATCCACACACGGAGTGAAATCATGAATTATAACCATTTTACTATCAGGCGAAAGTCCATTTTCCTTTTCGATTCCAACTCGAACTAAAGTTTCTATACTGGCACTTCCTGTTATTCGTCCAGGTGGTAATGGCACTCTGGTCCCCATTCCAAGACCTCCAACTCCATCTTTCTCCAAATTAAAATTATGCACTCCAGCTAAAATAATTCAAATCTTCGTTATTCTTTTTTTAACTTATATATAACGAAACTGACTACAATTTTTCCTCCTTTTCAGAAATTTAATAGCAAAATTCTAATTCTAAAACAAAATTTTATTTTACAATATTTTCATGTGTTTCACAATCAAATTATTCTTGGATCAAAATTGTCAACTTGTTTCGATCTTTTATGTGTATATATATATGTGTGTGTCTTCTTCCTTTTCTGTAAATACAAGTACGTGAACATTAAAAACCCCGTTATACCTTTGGTACAATCATTTTCAAAACTAACTGAAAGATCACCCTTTTAGTTTTTTAATACAAATTTTAATAAAACCCCGAGAAAAAAAAACATTTTCAAAATGGCATTTTCTATGTAAACAAAAGGCTAAATGTCAAAAAATTTTAACAACAACATGTAATAATGACATTTGAGCGCTGGTGTAACACACATATATATATATAACTTTCATGACTACTATGGATTTAAAAAGATCATCGATCCTTTGAAATGTATATATATATATATAGCAAAGCAACAGGTAGACGCAGAACAGGATGAGAAAAGGTACATATACAAACTATATATGTATACACATATATATAGACGAAATATCCGAAATACTTACGTTTCTTCTTCTTTCCTCGACGAATACGTACAGGACATAAGAAAGCCATTTTTTTGCACTCGTTCCGATCTTTGACGGGTTCTCACATTTCCCACGGGCACTAAGTCACATTATAGCCACCTGGGGACACGAAAAAACAACGTCCCGAAGAGAAGAAAATTTGACATTGTGAGCACAAAAAAAAAAAAAAAAAATGTTTAACCCATACAGATACACGATTTTTTTTTCTTGACACAATATCACTCGTTTTTCATTTGCGAGTTATACGCGTTTTACGACACTAGACGAAGATGACTGGACCACTTGGGACCGATCGGATCTTTCGATCGAACACCTGTGATCATTGGCGACGAAAAGTACAACCTGTGTGTACGTATTTGTGTGTGAAGTGCCACTGGCCCTGTATTGGTTTACTCAGGGCCGGTTCGACAACTTCCGCACCCCCAGGACATTTAAAATATAACTCTCTAAATAAAAAAAAAACAACAACAATAATAATAATACTAATGGTCATAATAATGATAACAATAATATAATAAAAATAAATATCAATAAACAATCATAATAATAAAAACAATAATAATAATAATAATTATTATTACTTATAATAACAGTAATAAATCATAATATAAAACTCGACTTATTCAACTAATGAAAATATGCGATTTTTATTTAAATAATACCAAATTAAAAATAATTTAATTTCTGTTACAATAAATATTTGTTTTTAATTAAAATAATATATTATTAACTGTATATTATTATGAAATAAAAATTGGCAAAAATTTATTGTAAAAATAAATCTTTTGCAAAAGAAAAAAAATTGATTTAATGTGAGAAATTTTTCTATGGAATATTATTATAATACGGTGTTAAATGATTAATTAAATATTTGAAATTAAAGTTACGATTTAATGGGGGGAGTAAAAAAGAATAATTTAACAGAAAAAAAAATGTTCATCCTCTTCAGTCAGAGGAGTGCAAGTCTGCATCTGGTTTTGTTGTTTTCTGAGTCTATATAGTCGTTGACCTGATGCATAGGAGGCGCTCTGTACCAACGAAAAGAGAGACAAGTAATACTTAAAATAATGTTGTGAGAAAAAGAGGAAAATAATCAACCAAGGGGGTCGGAGTACGGTGTATTATACAAACACACACATACATATATGAAACATATACATTATTTTATATGTATGTATACAAAGGATGGCAAAATTTTATAATTGTATCTCTTTTCCTAAAAATAAAAATTTAATTTTTCTTCTAACAAATTAAAAATTTTTTTTGAATTTATAACATAATAATAATCTATTATGCACATTAGATTTTTTTTACATAATTAATTTTTTTTAAATAAAAAAAGAAATAAACCTAATAATAATAAAATACCACAAAAAATAATTTTTAATTTCAATTTTCAGGATTTTTTCAATTGTAATTGGATTATAAATTGTTCGACACATATGTTAGCAAATATTTAGTATTGTAGTTATATAAAAAATTAATTTCAAATTTAAATTAAAAATAAACTATATAAACAAAAATTTGTTTAATTTAACAAAAAAATTTACCAATTGAATCTATAACTAAAAAATAAACATTGAAGTTAATGTCATTAATTAATATAATTATTTTTTTTGGTGATAAAAAGAATAAAATATGCATATATTTAAATAATATTCGCGCGGTATTCTATTATTATATCAGTTATTCCTAAAAATCAATGTCCCTTTTGACAGATTGAATAGAAAAATGCAAACAAAAAAAATCCATTAAAATTTCAACAATTGAATGCATAAAGCAATGAGAACGTGCGGTTCCAATTTTAGAGAAAAATCAATACAACAGAGAAAATTGAATACGCTTAGAGTAATACCTTTTATTTGGTAATATCTAAATATTTAAATTTTAATAATCTACTATATATTATAATGAACACCTCATTTTCTATATTAAATATAATTTCATCGCACCTAATAATAATAATAAAATTGGACCATGAAAAAAAGATAATTCCAATTTTTTTTTTCAAAAAGCGCGATAAGGGAATTTACACCAATATATATAATTACAGTGGCCCTCTAATCTAATTTGTACTTATTTTTTTAATTAAATAATTCTAATATTTTTAAAAAAATTTTAATATACAAAAAAAATGTTTACAACAATAAATATATGGAAAAATTAATTATTAAAACAAAATTGTAAACATTAAATTTTAAAAATAATTTTTTAAACAAAAAATTTCATCATAGAGGAAAAAAAAATTATTATATTTTTTAACAAATAATATCAATCATAAATAGGTCAATTATTAAATAGATGAGCCATAGAATTTTGTACTTTCACTTTGCACTTTGTATTTAATGACACTATATAATATTTTTCTTTTTATATAACAATGGAGTTTTTTTTTGTCAACTAATTATATTTTCATTAAATTAAAAACAATTGTAACACTTTGTTTCTTTTTTTTTTTTTATTAATGAATCTGATTCAATATTTTTATTGAAAGACGAAATAAATATATATGTGCAATTTAATATAAGAAAATAAACTATTGACAATTGCGCAACATGAGTATGCACTCAAAAAAAAAAAAATAATAAAAAAAACTACCCACAAAAGTTCAAATATTTGAAATAATGACAACTAAACGTGGGTTATATGTAATTTAAAAAAAAAAAAAAAAAAAAAAAAAATTAGGTATAACTTAAGGGTTTTATAAGTTAGAATCACTGGTTACATGTAATATAGTAATTAAGAATAATTATTTGCACTAGATCTCTGTATGCGATTACATTTTCATACATATTATGCATTATAAAAACTTTCATCACAAATTTGTAGGCATTCTCGCCAATTGCAGGTACTAATGTTAAGTAATATAATAATTTAAAAAGAACATTATAATTTCAGTTTCGAATCAAATTAAAATGAGAAAAAAAAAATCATACAAATCACTCTCTCGCGGACGCGAAATTTGAAGGGGTAACGGGGAGGGTTTTTTTGGGGGGGGAGGTGAAAACAATTTTCTACAAATCAAAACATTTTGGAAACTACACACACGACGTCTCGGAACAATTAATATATTTAATCAAAACGAGAGCTATCGTCTACCGACTGTGTTTCAATAGTTTATTTTCTTTAACAATATTTATAATATCTACAATAATAATAAGTCGCGGTAGATAATGCTTCTTACGTGTAGTACATTCAAAAATGTTATGTCAAAACGACTGAAGAATATTGATTCACTTTTTTTCGTTTTGTTTTTTTTTTTTTTTATAATCAAGGGGTTTTTCATATACAATATATATATATATAAATCATTATTTCCAAAGTGAGTGTCATTTATATTATGCGAAAAAAAATTCCACAAAAACAACTTTTGTATTTATAATCATTTGAAAAAAAAAACAATTATTAAAAAGTTTTGGCATAATTTCTTTTATTAATTAACTAAATTATATCCTTAAAGGTATAAAAAAAAAATTTTGCCAAACTTTTTAACTTCATACTCTCCATAAAAAGCAATCTTTTCAAGAGCTTATTATTCAATAACCTAATAAAGCTGATTTGCAAAAAAATATAATTTTCAAATAAAATTTGCTCGTAAAATAATACTCAACGTATAAAATATATCTATCTAGTAAATAATAAATAAAGGTACCAGTCAAAATTTCCCCCCCAAAAAAAAAAAAAAATTTGGTCTCATTTATACAAAAATTGGTAAAATGTACAACTCCGAAAATGATTTTCAATTAATCAACCGGGGTAAATCCACTCTCTAAATCTGAATTAATAAAAATGTTTACTAATTTGAATTAGTGACGCACTTTTTGCTTTTGAATTAGTAAAATTTTACTAATTATTAGTAACTTTTACTAACAATTAGTAAAATTTAACTAATTCTAAAGCAAAAGAATTCTGAATTAGTAAAGTTTTACTAATTATTAGTAACTTTTACTAACAATTAGTAAAATTTAACTAATTCTAAAGCAAAAGAATTCTAAATTAGTAAAATTTTACTAATTATTAGTAACTTTTACTAACAATTAGTAAAATTTAACTAATTCTAAAGCAAAAGAATTCTGAATTAGTAAAATTTTACTAATTATTAGTAACTTTTACTAACAATTAGTAAAATTTAACTAATTCTAAAGCAAAAAGTGAGTCACTAATTTAAATTAGTAAACATTTTTACTAATTCAGATTTAGAGAGCAGACCAAAATTAATTTCTCTCTTTTTTTTTTAAATAAATTTTGACCCCTTATTTTGGTTTTAGACACCCTCTTTGGAAATACGAAGAAAAGAGTTTGAAAAAATAAAAATCTAAAAGAAAATATATAGGAAGTACAAATCGATATCATATATCTATATATATATATATCGGACACGTGTTTTAGTTTGCGTTATAATCATACTTAAAACATGACCAGAGAGTACAATAATAATATAATACGTAAAAATTTGACAATAAAAAAAATTCGATTGAATGAAATATTTTTCGTGAATCGTTTCCGAATTTTTTTTTTTTTTTTTTTTTTGGAGTAGTACGTAAGATATACACATATGTATATTTATTAATCTTGTATTATAATAATCCTAGATAAAATTTAAACCGAGTGTGTATGAAAAAACGTAGACTATTACAATTCTCTATATTTCTTAGGTGGGAAAATTCTTACAATATTTGTAATATTTTTTTTTTTTTTTATTGTAAAGTATGTATGTCGTACGAAGTCGATTATACCGAACATAATTGGTGATTGTATGCGTCCTATGTTATATTTACTGTTAATTATCATTATTCAGGCTCTACTAAATTGCTTTGAAAATCTGTCATTCGATATTTGTAATTTTATTTAAAAAAAAAAGAAATTTAAAATACTGTAAAATGATAAATTAATCAAAACAACAATATGAGAGATCTTCCAAGCAGCCTCTAATACGTCTGAGTAAATGTGCGATTTCAATAATACGCGCATACGGGCACTGTTTAACTTGTTCCATTTCATCATTTTTTTTTTTATTGTACAATGTAAATATGAATACGCACGACTTAATAACGAATCTATCGATATAATCGATTTATTATTACTAAATATGTACGGTATCAGCTATTGAATATTACAGTTTGACTTGATAAAAACGGGGCTTAGGGGGGAGGGGGGAGGGAAACTTTTTTTTCGCTAAAAATTTTTTTTTTTCATCAATCTTTATATATATATATATATATACATCTCGAAAAAAATGTGTCCGTTAAAATCGAGTATTGACTATCTTCTTGTACTCCTGATTGTTACGCAATCATTGCCATATATGTATATATATATTGAAACTAATCAACAACTTTTATTAAAGAATTTCGAGTAAAATATAAAAAGAAAAATAGAATTAAAAAAATATTTTTAATAAAAAAAAAAACAAAAAAAACAGATAAAATTTGGTAAAAATATAATAATAATTTTAACGATGAGCTTCCTTTCTGAATAAAATACAGTAACTCTCAAAAAACTTAGAGCGAAGGAAGAACATCGTTGGTAAGTAGAAAATAATATGATCTTTGCGTTGGCAAAATCAATTTCTAATCTTCAATAAAAGTCATCAACTCGAAAAAAGAGGGGGAATAAAGGAGAGACGTCTCCTTTTTAATGCAAAAAAAAAAAAAAAAAACAAAAAATAATAATGCCAAATATATAATGCTTTCGATGCTTTCTCACGACACATTTTCAAACCAACTGCTGGAATACATCAAGCTCTTTTATTTGCTTGCTCGAAACCTAGCGTAACAATATAGCACCTAGGGTTTTTGTACTTTTTGCAATAATTCGCTTATTGTTTTTTTTTTTTTTATTAACATATATTAAGGTGATAGTAAACAAATTTTAATTTTTGACGATTAAAATCATATATCAACAAAAACTTCTTTAGTCAGATTTCAGTGAAAATTAATTTTATTTCCTGATTTTTGATGTAAAAAATTTTTTTACAATCACCCTAATTTAGATATATATATATATTATATATATATATATACATATATATATAATATATATCTGACCTCAGAATGTATACGTTATATACACTATGCAATATTATAAATTCAGAAAGGTTATTTGAAAAATAACCCAAACTTCATTATATTCAAGCATATCGCCTTTTCTTTCTTTTTTTTTTTAAAAAAAAAGGAAAAAAAATCTCGCGCATTTGATATTTAATATCAACTACGCACTCATTATTTCCTTTATGTTTTTCTATCATCGTGTGGCGTGGTAATATTTCATTTTAATAACTAATTAATCTTTTTTTCTCTGTATTGTACAATATCTACAATGGGTCAAAAAACAAAACCGTTGATAAAGTTTTATTACTTACAATTTAAGAACTCTGAATTTAATCGTCATATACAATAACGTTTAAAGGCTCTTCATTTATCACATAACCAAGAGAGTTCTCAATTTTATTTAGAATCGTTTTAATATATATTTATATATATTCATTTTTTTTTTTTTTTTTTTAATACCTCTAGCGCGAAAATTTCAGTACCACACTTATCCAAAAACGAACGATAAGTGCCGCGATTGATTACTGAGCTTGTTTTATTATTTTTTTCGAAAATTTTTTGCCTATCAGTTCTGTCTTTTTCCCTTTAAAATCAAAATTAAAACCCCATTAATTTTGGAGTTAAAAAAAAAATTATCACTATTTGCTTATAATTTTCGGCATATTATTCACATTTATAAAAAAAAAATTAATTAATAAATAATTTCATATCTAAGGAAAAATTCAGAACCATTGAGCATTAGACAAAAAATTTCGAGTATTGCATTTATAACCGCGGTAAAAATGTTTCTAATCATTACTCTCATTCGAGACAACATCGGATTCTGGTGTTTTACTTTCTGAAAGTATTGTTGAATCCTTTAATTTCTCATTACTTTCAGTGCTATCGGCTACACTTGCATTCGTTACATCTTCATTATTTTCAATTTTACATGTTGTTTGCAATTCTTTGATTTGCAATAAATCACGTAACCTTGCAATTTCACGTGCATCATTTATTCGTGCTTGTCGTAAAATTGCATTTTCCGATGATAAACGTTTTATCAATTCAACAACATCTACTGGCAAATCAATACCCAAAAGTCTTTCTTGAAGTTCTATTGCCGTTGATCCATCTGAATTGAGATCAATTTCTGGCGATGATGTGACAACTTCAATAGCTGTTGTTGTTGTTGTTGTTTCAACATTAACAGTTGATGAAGTAACCGCTGTACTTTCCTCTTCCTCTTGATGATGATGTCCTAAAATTTTTTCCTCAGGACATAATTCATCTTGAGTTTCATCTGTCAATGGTGGTCCACCTAATGGAACAAAACCAGCACTCGGTACAGGCGACGATGGTTTCTCAAGTTTCACACTAACAGGAAATGATTCGGATTTTTCATTAGGACTTGGTGATCGATGATTGTGACGACGACGTTCATGTGGATATCGACGATGATGATGATGATGATGATGTTGAACTGGAGCTGTGGGAATGAGAGATACTGTTGATGCTGCTATTGGAGCTAGTGCAACATTAGGCTGATAATGAGGTTCAAAACGTTCGCACTCCGAGAGGGGTACTACACGTTCAGGATGTTGAAGTACTGGTGGTCCTCGGCTGAGATAAGCAGGAACCAGTGGTGAACTAAATATAAAAGACGATTGTTAGTCACGATCAAGTTTCTCTCGTAACAAAATAACAAAACGCTTCTATACAATAAACATTTCAAAGATTCAACAATTTTTTTTTATCATTTGCGCACCTTTCCCTAAGTTTACACGATCCAGGTGTATTCCAAGGCCTAAATGCAGATGCGCCTCTTGCAGCTAATTCAAAAACAGCCCACTGCATTTGTAAATAAGGATCATTAGCACTAGTTACTGTTGAAACAGGATGATAAAGGCCCAATCCATTTCCATTATAAATACCGCCAGGAAATTCTTCCTTCGCTATTTCCTTCTTTAATTTCTTGGCTAACTTCTCAGGTTCATATCGGAACTGGAAATAATAATTTCAATGAATATATGTTCACAACAATGAACACACCATCGACATTATATTTTCAAAACTGTTGACAATTCATTTGAAAAATATTGAAATTGAAAATCTTCCTCATATTCAGTATGATATTTTAACAATAAGATCACTGGACACGAATCAAAATATTTATAACTAATAGTTTTAAAAAAATATTTCCAATATTTCTATATATTTAATAAATTTCAGAATATTAAGTGTACATGCACTTAACTTAAATATAATCTAATTTTCTGAATGTAATTTAGAAATTCTTGGCAACCACATTACGTTATCTGGTCAAAATGATAATTATGAAGAACTTTAAAAATGTTATGTTAGGCTAACACAAGCTTTATCAGTATCAGTTATCAGACAAGTCTGCAGCTTGAAGATAATAAAAATTTAAAAAAAAAAAAAAAATGAAAAACCATTCTAAACTCTAGACAAAGCGACATATCTTAGAAAGATATTTCTATTCAATTCAAGAAACTCGAAACAAACAGCTTATATCAGCAAACACTTGATTAAATTTATATTGACCTTTTCCTTGCTAAAGAACATTATCATTCTGAATAAATGAAAAATTACCGAAAAAAAAAAATCAATGACCCTTAAGATTCATATTTTCTCCTTTTCATTAATTTCTACATTGAATCGAAATAATTTATATGAATTGTAAACAGTTCTAAAAAAAAAAAGTTGGAAATTCATGACGAATATGAAAATTCTTGTTGTCGTCAAAGAATCAGTCCATCAGTACGTGATACTTTTTACCATATCTTTGTTTAGACTAATATAGTTATTTGCAATATTCAACTGTTTTGATAATGATATCTGTGTCAATCATCAATGTCACGTAATGAATGATTGACCCCTTTGACGAATGACAATAACAAAAAATAACAAAAAGTATAGAGAAACAAAATTTAAAAATACACCTCAAATTTTCGTTTCGAGTTAGGAAGAAGATGTCTCTCCTTAAGTTCCTGAAAGTAATTCACAACTTTATTATAATGCCCCTGGTCTCGAGATAAAAGAAGATATGATCTCCAATTAGCTGAATCGAAACCCCAGTGACATGTCCGATTTTCCAATGAACGATGTGCATGCCTCACAAATCTTGCTGGAGAAAACCTTAAACCACACTCTAAACACTCAATACAAGCCGAGTCCTCCGTTATAAACAAATCAGCATCAAAAATTCCCTTACACTTTCCAAAACACTCATGATACACTTTAAATCTCGACACACAATTCTCGTCAACTTCTTTTTTATGAAGTTTCTTTTCTTCAAATTCATGTTCCTGAATTGGTATAGCCAAACAGGGTTCAGCCCGGGAAAGTAAAGCACTCACTAATCGTTCTGCATCGGTTTGTGTTATTAAACCACAAGACGGTGCATTACGAGGTAAAATACCAGACAATTTAAGTTCCTCTAATTGATCGCGAGTACATCTTGAACAATAAATTTGTAACTCATCGCACACCTGATTTATCTGCTGTAATGAAAAATCTTGCAAAACAGTATTGAGTATCTGTGGCAGACATAACCTCCTTTCTCCACCCACAACAAAGCACGATATCCTCTCCCCTTCAAGCAATGTTTCACACCTCTCCGAACAACTTTGATCCGGTGTTGTCAATATTGGAATCGGAAATTCGAGTTCACGTTTTTCCAATGGTATTTTCAACCTCTCAGGTTGGGGATCATCGTCAGAATCATCAGGTAAATGACCCACCCTTGAATCTTTACACAAAACTGACACCGGTGATATTCTGTCCTTGACAATTGTCTTACCACAACCTTCCGTAATGGTATCTGTGCCATGACTCGTTGGTGAGAAACGAAAGCCTGCTTGTTCCTGAAGCAGACCTTTACATTCCATATCCAACAGGGCCGAGCTTGGACCCTGTAAACTCTTGACGGCTGACAGCTGATATGTTTTTAAAACCGTTTTCAGCTGTGGACTGTACGATTGATTGTTTGTCTTGCCTGGTAGTAGCGTCTCCATTATGTATAATATCAGAATTCTTTCGTTTTTTTTTTCCCCTCGAAACCAAGACGAGACACAGAGGAACTCGTTGTTGTTAGCGAGATAGCTCAAGATTTGCACACGCGCTCACACTCCGAACGCACAAACTTTTTGCAAAAAGCAGATACGTTTGCGGGACAGAGATAAACCCGGTCCATCTCATCAGAGCCGACCCCCCCTGTTCTCGCCTCGTGCGCGACTTTAAACTGATTGACTGCGAAGCACTGACTCGCGATAAATCTCTTCTTTCTTTTTTTTTTTTTTTTCTCTCTCCTAAGTCTGACCTAGGTGTCGAATTGTCGTCGTCTTCTTCGTTGACGACGCGACACAACCATCGCACCACCACAACATCGTGTCCACGCACATGACACTGCTGACTTGGATCCGTATCAGTCAAACGACGTCCCCCTGACGCGTCCCCGAAGGTCGAAGGTGGCGGCCGTGGTGAGGAAACGCAAGCGCTCGAATCACAATTCACACATAGAGGCTTGGTTACATCTTTCACATATACACACTCGACCCAAAATACAGGGCTCGGTCACGGGTACGGGTCGGTGGCCTGGGCCTTTTGAATGTCCATCCAAGTGGCGATCAGCAAAACGACACATGTCCACTAACTCTCACAGACACATTATCACATCCTGCCAGTGGAGCATTCTCAACAATCACAAAAATTAAACTTATTCCAATCACTTTCAGGCTAATATCTTCTTTTGATGTATTTGCTTGACAGATATCACACCTCCGACGACTTCGCCACCACCACCACCACCACATTAACAGTTCCCGTGGGCATTGTCAGACGACCGATTTACTTGGCACGCTGCGCCGCAATGGCGTATCGATCGAGCACGCACGAACCAACGACGGTGAACCACTGGCCGCGAGTTTACGCATATTTTTTTTAGCGCCAAGTCAAGTCGAACACAGCCAGAAACACCAAGTAAACCGTCTACTTCGCCCGACGCACACGATACTCACAATGCTAACGCAGCATAGCCCTGATCATGTCCTGATATGCGCGAGCGCACGCTATTTTCCTTCTCCTCTCTCTTTGTATGTGTGTACATTACTCATGTTGTGTATCTCTTTCTAGCACATGCATACAATAACACAAACGGCACATTAAAGTGGTTGCAAGGTGCTCACACATAGGCGAAAAATGAGAGAGTGAGAATCATAAACATTGGATAGTTTCTATCTGTGTGTGTGCCACTGTAAACACGAGGGAACTGTCAGTGTGGAAAAGAGGCGAGCCTTCAGGCCAATTCTATGTATGTGTATATGAGAGATTGTTACACACACTGATTTAAAAAAAAGCCACATGCACACGTGCACATGAAAGAGTCGATGAACAAGTATTCGCCTCTGCTGGTGGCTCCGTAAAGTGTACATGTCTGTCTGCCATATTCCCCTTTGTCCCCCTTGCTCCACTACTGCCACGCCATCGTTGATGATCGTCGACGACGCCTTTATCCCTTCCCTCTGTCTCTCTTTCTCTCTCTCTCTCTCTTTTTACCCGTGTGCATTGCACACAAATGGGAGACTGTTTGTCTAACTCTCTTGAGGGCTCTCTCACTTCCACTAGTATGTATCTTCAGAAAACCATATACAACAGGGATGGCAGAACTAATCTTTGGGCCAGACTCTCCAATATACTCTCTTCTCATAAGTACTCATCATTTACAAAGTAAACGTCATTATCATTATCCCATAATACAGCACTAAACGTCATCCAATATTTCATTTCTTCTTTCAATATTTTCATTAATCTTGGATTTATTAACGTTCCTTTTTTTAAAAAAAGGGCCCTTCTTGCATAAAATGCAAACACGTGTGACGTAATTCATACCAATGACCCATATCAGTTCTTTCAACACTGATAATGGGGAAGGGTACCCGAGATATTATATCCGCTTTAAAAATTCAGATTCTAATCCAAGAGGAGGTCATTCAAAAACTCATGATTGAAATAGAAAAATAATTTGTTTTTACTAATATTTTTCTAATTGTGAATAAATAGAAAATACGATTGGAATTCTAAAATCGTATTTACAAAATATCTCTAAAAATTTTTGATAAAAGAATCGAAAATTCAAAACTAAAAGAATCAAAATCGGCAAACTAATCGGCATTTAAAAATGGAGCACATGTATTTTGTTATGGTCAACATGGATGCACACAGATGTAAATACTTTGTTGCAAGTAGTGTATAAGCGTGTATGTATAAAGTTAGTGTGTGGTGTCGGTCAGCGGTCGGCCAAGCGTCTAGTCATGTGACCTTCTCTGCCTTCCCGTCAAAATAGCCCTGTATGATTCCGCAATACACCAATACAAATGCATTTGGTCTATTGCAAAGTATGTGTGTATGTATTTAACGCATGCGCACAACTTTGAATTTCATGAGACTTGTTGTAGTGAACCCATACAAACATTTTGTGACCAACACAAAGAAAATGGGAATACTAACACTTTTTTAACGGATGTTAGTTGGTATAGTGTACATATAAAACAAATGCAAAAGCAACACTCGATCCAGTGGTCACAATATAGATATATATATATTCCTGTTCCTGCTTCCTATATTCCGCCGCACGGTACATTTACAGGCACGTGCAAATCAATTTCAAAACCAAGATTCTACAAATCCCTTCTCGTGTGACCTTCAATTTAAATTTTTTTTTGGATATTGTAAAGTATAAAGAAAGAAATAGGGATAAGAATTTGGAAATATTATCTATTACTAAGAAGCTAAAAGCAAATAAAAAACGTTGATGATTTTATCTTCACTTTATATGGAGTGCAATATGTGAATTGTGAGAAGAGAATTTTCTTCATTGATCTAAATTAACACAGAAAATATAGAGAAATATATGTATCTCTAAAGGACGGAGAATTTCAAGAAAAGTCATGAAACAATAATTTTTTCCTTGTAAACTCAATTCGTGAAATACATATATATGCTCCAATTTTGTGACTCATTGAATTGGCTAAGTATTTAAAATTTAAATATAAATTAGTGTATATTATACAATGTATATATATAACATTTTTTAAATTATTAAAATTTGCTTTATTTCTTTTGCAATATCTTCGATGAATCTATATATTTACAAATCTATGTAATAAAAATGAATCCAAGTCATTAATTTCGCAAAACTTTTCCCAAAAATATCTATAAAACTCGGAATACATATATATATATTGTTATAAAGATCGATGAAAGCAATAATTAGTTCATATATAAAAGTTTCACTTATTGTCAGATAATACACGACCTCATTCAACTTTAGCTCTTCTTTTATTACAAATATATATATATTTGTCAGAGGAGAGGAAAATATTACAAAATTTTCAAAACAATTTTCCATGTCTAGTGATAGAAAATTTTTTTAAGAGAATAATTATCTCAAACGTATACAACGTATACGTATTAAATTATGTATATATATGTTTCAATATTGATTTATCGAAAATATATTTTATATAAAATATAATTCGAAATAAATATTTTATTAACAAAGTGTAAAAAGAAAGAAAAAGGAACTAAAACTTGGAAAAAAGAGAAAAGACAAAGTGAGGTTCGTGACCCTTCTGGTTCGAAATGCGTAATTTCTATAAGAAGACTCGCGAGTACGAATACACGTGACAAAGGAACCTTATTTTGAGCGAATTCCTCCTCTCAAGATAATCTGCGAGCATACAATTTATGCTCACAGGTGTCTATTTTATTGTGCGCTTTATTCAGAATTTTATATTACAATAAAATTCAATGTTTATAAAATAAAAAAATTAAAATAATGAAACTTGTAATTAAAAATATGTATAATTTATATAATAATTGCATTTATAAAAAATAGTTATTAATAAATAAAACGTACTCTCAAAAATTGAATCAGCGAAATCGCGCTCATTCTAGAGAGTACAAAAATAAATTTCAAAAAAATTGTTCCGAAAACGCAATCAACAGGTTATAATAAAAAAAAGGGAATATTTTTGCCAAAAATGGTAAAAAAATTTCTGGTAAAATAATACATTACATTCAATAATTGAGAGAGTGTAATATTTTTTTTCGTTTGCTTAAATTTCTGTCTAAAATTCAATCTTTTGTTTTTCATTTCAAATTTACAAAACATAATGATACATATACACAAATGTGAAGTTAAAACAATGATTCATAATTGCAAGTGTATTAGCAAATATAACAGAAATGACGTTTTGGTACATACTGTGCTTGATTAAAACACTCGCATTAAAATTATTTACAATGTTTGATGACTCGAAATCAAAATTTTTGTGCGCTTTATAAAATGCTATAAAAATATATTACATTTTCGAAATGTAATTAATTAATATAGACCAACCTAGGGATAATTAAAGTGTTAAGTTTCTTATTTATATAATTATAACTAACTATAATTGTAAATTTTGACCTTTGAAATCTCAATCACGCTTACAACAAAATGTATATACACAATAAATATTCTTATGTGATAAATTGCTGATCAATGATCCCTAATAGAGTAAAACGTAAATGGGGCACTTTTTTTCCATATATAAAAATAATTTTTTTTGATGAAAATTATATAGTTAACGTTTTCCGAAACAGGATAATTTTTAAAAATGAATTTTTTTCAAAAAGCGAGGAGAAAAAAAATTCAACAACAAAATATTTGGTTGATATTTTATGCGGAATTAAATTCGTTTTATTATTGCCGACAAAATTTTGTTTAGCTCAACAAAATGTTTATCTTAATTAAAAATATAAAAACCTAAATATATTTAAATAATTGAAACATATTACAAAAATATAATGATTGAACTGAAAAAAAAAATTATTTGATTCAAATTCTCGATTACTTGACTATTATCAAATAAATATTTATTTGTATAAAATAATTATTTATTTGTAACAAATAATTATTTATTTACAAATAATTATTATTTGAGTCAATTAAATGGTTTTTGTTTCAAATACATTTTATTTGGTTCAAATAAAATTTATTTAATTCAAATAAAAATTATTTGGTTCAAGTAAATATTTATTTGATAATACGTCAAGTAATCGAGTATTTGAATCAAATAAATTTTTTTTTCAGTGTGAATTAATCAAAATTTAGTTGAGAGACAGAGAAATTTTTTTTTTTTTTTTACTGAAACAATGCATTTTGGAAAACCACGTGCATAAATTCTGATATTAATGACGTTTATATATCTATTAAATATGAGCATTGGCATGCAGTGCAAAACGAAGTATGTATGTTCACCTTAATCAGTGGTTTTCATACACGCAACCTATGACGTAATGACGTTTACTGACGCACCCCATTTAATAGAACAACCGATTTGAAAAGAATAAAAATTCCTGTACTATATTTTTTCTATAAACAATTTTGCTTTTTAAAAAATATATATGCTCAAAAATGCAAAAATTAAAATTAAGAATCTTTTTGGTATTTTAATTTTAAAGAAAAGAATCTAATATTTTTTTCTTTAGCAAATTAAACTTAATGAGGAATTATTTTTTAAAATCTTATTGAAACGAAAAATTGTAACTATTTTTTTTTATTATTATTAATATTATTATTATTATTATTTATTATGTTTATATTATATTGAATTTAATATTTATTATTTTTTTTCATTCCGATTTGTATATTTTATTAATGATTTTTTTAGCACAGATTTTTACACAAAGTTAACATGATAAACATTTCAGAAATGATTTATTAAGTTGAGAAATTGTTTATATACTGTTATATTTTCGTTGATTTTATTAATGACATTTTTTATCTTTCTAAAAGCAAATTTACCTTCGTAAAAAACATGAAATTCTTGTTTGCATTGGTTTACAATGTTTTTTTTTTTAAATTTTTAATTTGGTTGACCCCGTTCAAAAATTTCTAAATCATTTACACTTATTACAAAAAATCTAAATAATAATAATAATAATAATAATAATAATAATAATAATCAATGAAATAATAATAATTATTATGTCCTATAATTTTTTATATAATTAAAATCTAATTTTCATATAGAATTAATTTCATATTTTTTATCAAAAATTGGCAATTTAAATTGTTTAATTTAAATAATTAATACTTTTTTATAATTAAAATTTAAAGTATATGGAAAATATTCCAATGAAAATGTAATTAGTTATAGTTTGTTATCGTTAATTGTTTTCAACAATTATATTTAACCTATTAAATCTAGTAATTCTTGTATCAATATATAAAGACCAATAATGTTTTAACGAAATTATTGATATTCCAATTTTAGAACAGAATTTCTTATCATTTTCGATAAATTCTCTCTCTCTCTTTCTCTCTTGTGCACATATATACAATATGAAAAGCTGCTTATAAAATATGTACATATATAAAATTAAATGAAAATATTTAATTGAAAGCTCCGTCTAAATATACTATTTTTCCTTTCCAATCAAAAATATATAAATGAAAACAACGGATACGCAAGGAGATTAAAATGATTTTAATTTTTTTTAAATTCAACTTAAGATGCAAAGAAAAACTTCATTATCACAATAAAGTTACTTTTTTTTATATAAAAACGTTAAAATTTATATCAAAGTTTTTTTTCAAAAAAACAAAATAATACGATTTATATCTCTGTAATGGTCATATTATATATTAACTAAAGAATGTTTATATAATTGTCAGGTGTATTATATCATTTTTGGTGTCAAATAAATAAATTATTATACTTGTGGCGCCTATGATATTGATAACAAAACCAACAATAACGATTAGTATCTTGTTTATGCATAATTTATACCATTTAAAAGCAAAATGAGAATACGCTGAATATACACATTAAATTCTGATAATGTCATATCGATATATTCACTACGCAATTTTAGCACTTGCATATATAAACAAATATGAAAAAAAAAAAAAAAAAACGTGAGAATACGCGACGAGCAACACTGAATGTTAAATATTTAATAGAGTTCGTTGGCATGACGTGTAACACGTGTAATCCATGAAAATATTTATTCTTTTTCATTTCTAATATAATTTTTCTTCAAAAACTGTCGTTAATGACGATTTAATCAATTTAATTATAATATAATTGATATTTAATTAATTTAATAATAAATTATTCAATTAGTTAAATAATTATCAATTATAATTAATGATTTATTTATGATCCCCGTTTTTTACGAATTAAAGAAAAATGTTATTTGCACTTTATAAAGCTTTTAAAAATTTAAATATCAGTAAAAAAAATTAATAAATTTTCAATTTTTTAGATTTTATCTACCGATTGTTGTAATTGTTATTGAAAAAATTGATATTTCAATAATATGTGAAAATTTGTTTCTAAAATATAATTTGAAAAATTAAATAATAAAATGAATTCACTTGGGTATTCTAACGTCAGAATAATATTTTTTGTACTCACTTTTTCTCCATTTCTCTCTCGTCTTTCCCTCTGTAAATAATTAAAATTCTACTGAATATTCTGAATATACATATAATAAATAATTGTACAATCAATAAAACATTATTAAATGTAGAATAATTTTTAAAATTATTTTAACTATTAAATTTTTAATTAATCAGTATTCACTGGAATTGAATAAAATGAAATTTTCTTTTTATACAGTATTGATTTTTTAGTATTAGTAAATAAAAGAAAAAGTGAATTAATCAAATTTTTAAATTACTTAAATATTGGAAAAAAAAAATATAAAACTTACGTTTAAAATATATTTTTCTGTAAATGATCTCCATCCTAAAGTATCCTTCTAGGAATTATCAATTTTTGAGCACTCACTTTCGAAATTTAGAATCGAAAAACTTTTCTTTTAATTACGCGAATTTTAAATTTCCGATTCAAAAATTATCTCAATTCACCACTGATTCTAATAATTAGAACGAATATCAAAATATCGCATTGAATTTACTAAGAATTTCCTGACTTTTTCACTATTCCGTTTTTCATTATTTAAAATCTGGTATTATAATTTATTTATGCTGATCAAAGGAGAATTTAGACGAAAATAATGCAAATCTAAAAATGAAAAAACAAAGAAACTGCAATTTTCTCCTCCAAATCCTTGTGGATATAAATATCACGTGATCACTATTCCCGAAAATATATTTATTAATTTCGCGTAATTACGAGAAAAAATAATACACTCAACCGTGTAAAATTAACACAAAAACTCTTAATTTAATTCTAACTATTTACTTCTAAACAAATCGAACTTTTTAACAACATGTGGTCATTAAAAAAAGATGGTGTCTTAATAATAAAACTACGCGCCTAACAATTTTACATAACTTGACACCTTCTCATGGTCCATCTTTATCAGATTTTATCATCGCACACAATAGAAATTCATTTAATCTTGAAATATTAATGAGCAATTATGTTTTTTTGAACGAAAATTAAGAAGAAATCTATGGAAAATTAACTGAAAATTTGTCAACGCAAAGTAAAGTCTGACTCTACCGGCCTACTACACATCTTGAAATTCACTTAATAACTTATTAAAACGCAAATAATTTATCACACAAACATCGATAACACTGATCACAACTTTGAAATATTAAAACTGACCTAAAAATATTTGATAAAAACGTTTAAAATCAGAGGAAAACGAACAATAATGAACACCGGTTAAACAATCGCACTGCAACAAACGGCCATGATGGGCTTAAAGTGAAGTTGGCGTCAGTAAAATTTGAACTTGTTTATTTGCATTCTACCAGATGGCTCTGAACTCAAAAGGCGGGGTGTTTAAATTATACAAAACTAGAAATTAGATATATATAAATATCTAATGAATAAATAGTGAAATTAATCAAAAAAAATTTTTTAAATATATTTGCGACACATAAGCTTTCACTGAACAATCTTGAATTTATATTAAAATCGAATTAATTAAATAATTTTTGGGTATTATACGTAGAAAACCACGAATTACGCGTAACTACGCAACACAAATTTTCGATGTCAGCGCCGCTTCCTACTTTTATTACATATATAATATTACATATATAATTAATTTAATAATCTTTAATTTCTTAAATTTCATCTCTTATAAATCTTTAATATTTTTATAAATAAAAAAACAACTTTATAAATAAAAATAAATGTCCATGTAACGTGTGAATATACCTTAAATTTTTTTCTAATCCAACCCTGGTGTTACGTTGCGTACGAGCATGGAAGGGCAACTTACTTCAAATTGTTGGAAACTTTCCTATCAGAACTGATTAATAATATTTTAAAAGTACTTTTTTGTATAGTAATTAATAAAAAGAAGCATGTCAGATAGTTCAGATGATGAGGCCACATTCGATGAAGCCTTTGAAAGGTTTAAAAGAATATTTTATAGAGATAGATGTGAATGGCGAGATGTTGTTCCCGTACCTCAGGATGATGGGCCAGAACCAATTGTTTCTATTCCATATTCAGAGAAATGTATGTATTTCCTTTGTGTACGTTTTATATTATTTTTAATTTACTAATCTTATCAAATATTTGGTAATTCATATCTAGGTAAATTGTTTTATTTAACTAAATAAGAGCCGGATTAATTATGACACATAACCTCAATTTACAGACTGTTTATATTTTCCTTTTTTGCATATATTCATAATAATTTTAAAATTAGTAAATAAATAAATTAATTCATTTATGTTAAATAATTTAATAAAAATATGTACCTTAATTTTTTATAGACATTTTTATTTAAAAAAATCTGTTGAATGTCAACAATGTAAACAAAAGTTATTTTTGTTATGGTCTCATTTTATATTTTATTAACTTTTCATTATTGAAAAATTGTTATTCTATTTTCAATTTTTTCACAGTCAGAGATGCATACGACTATTTTAGAGCAATTTTAAAATCAGGAGAGAAATCAGAAAGAGCATTAGAATTAACTTTAGATTGTGCTAATTTAAATCCTGCCAATTATACAGTTTGGACATATAGAAGAGAAATTCTTAAAAGTTTAGGTAGCGATCTTGAAAAAGAATTAAAATGTATTAATTTTATGATGAGAAAAAATTCAAAAAACTATCAACTTTGGCATCATCGACAAGTGATTGTGGAATTGTTAAAAGATCCTAGTTATGAATTAGAATTCACTGCAATGATATTAAAAAAGGATTCTAAAAATTATCATGCTTGGCAGCATCGTCAATGGGTTATTAGAACATATAAGTAAGTAACAACATTTTTAATAATTTTACTAAAAAATATAAATTATTATTTAAATTAATCAAATAAGCAAACTATTTTATAATATTTAAAAAAAAAGTATATTTCTGTGATGATTAAAAGTATCGCTAGAAATATATCGTTGGCGTATTTTTTTTTTACCTCTTATATGATAATGGAATATTTTAAAATAAATTATGTACATTGTCGACAAAATTTGACTTCTGACTTGAATAATTATTTTTAATTTAATTATTTTTCGTTTAAAGTTTGTATGATAAGGAACTAGAGTACGTTGAAGAATTATTATTAGAAGATGTGCGAAATAATTCAGCATGGAATCAACGTTATTTTGTATTGGATAACACCACAAAATTTGAGCCAGAAATAATAGATCGTGAAATTGAATTTGCCATAAGTAAAATTCATATTGTTAAAGGAAATGAAAGCCCTTGGAGTTATTTGAAAGGGTAAGTGAATCTTTTATTTATTTCTATTTATTATATTAATTTATTTTTAGAATACTGGAAATTATTTTTAAAATATATTCGTATAATTTCAGAATTCTCAATAATGATCCAAAGGGTTTAGGCTATAATGAAAAAGTTATAAACTTATGTCAAAAATTGTACTCCGAAGGATGTAGAGTAAACCATTTACTTGCATGTATCATTGATATTTGTCAAGAAAGGCATAAAGAAACTGAACCACCAGATTCTCTATTTCACGTTAATAATGCCCTTAAGGTATAAATAATTCTTAACCATTATTAAAAATAACTAATATTTTAGAAATTCAAAAAATTTTTTTAAATTATTTTCAGCTTTGCGTGGATTTAGCGGACAAATATGATGTAATAAGAAAAAAATATTGGGAATTCATAAGCGACCAATTGAAAGAAAAATTTAATGTTTGTTCCACTATGGTTTAAAAATAAGTCTTATTTGTTATTGTTTTCTTTTTTACACTTTACCTTGAAATATTAATTATTCGAGAATCAAATTCTTTTATACAAAGTTTTTTATACAAAAAAAATTTCGATAAATCTTATAACAATTTAATAATTCTATAATAATACTGATAATAACTATGAACAAAAAAAAAAAATATGTTGTGAATGCAAAGTTGTGAATTGAACATAATTTATACACAAAAAAAAATATATATATATGTAATAATCTGTACAGATGAAATTATTGCATTTTAATTGCATGTCTATTGTGTAAAATGTGATTGCAATATACGTGGTCTATAAAAAATTGTTATTAATGGCCTTTTTTTTACACAAGAAGAAATTTTTTTAATATTTACTCATAATCATATTCCTTTTTGATTATAAAGAAAATAAACTAAATTAAATGGATATTTTTCAAAAGAAATTAGTCTGAGAAACATTAATTATCTGTTTATTTTATAAAACAGTTACATAATCGCACGTATTATATACCAAGTTAAAGAATCCGTTAATATAATATAATAATCACAAAGCTATTATAGGCTTTCAAAAAAAAAAATTAAGATGATTTTTCTTTTTCAGAGAATGCCACTGCTGCAGCATAATTATTATTTAATGAAATTATTTTCCAAAAAGAAGCTACAATTCTTAGAATATGTGCAAATTATAAAATTTTATGAGATTATGTTGATATGATATCTTCATACATCAAGGATGTCTCCTTGAGGCATTTTCAATAATAATTAGGCGTTTAAAGCACAAAAGCGATTTTTTTTTTCGTTGGCGGCAGACAAGCGACGGCAGTGACTGCAATAATTTAGTCACACAACAAAACAAAAACAAACAATAACAACAATAAGTGAAAAACGCATGAATAAATCACAGCAGATTTGCTTTTACGCGAAATATTTTTTTTTTCGCTCTGGTTTATTATATTTTGTTTCCACTTTTGAAAAGTGTGCTTTCTACTATACAATCTTAAAATTATTCTTCTTTCGACAAAAAAAAAAAATGGTTTTAAATTTGAAATTGAGCCAATTGGCAGGTTTTCATGAATTTTTTTTTTCTGAGTAAACTGAATTTTCGAAAATATTTTCAATTAAGATTTAGAAAAGATAATTTTTAGAAATTATTTTCATATTAATTAGGAATATGAATTGAAGTAAATAACTTATTGTCTTTTTTTTAAATCACTTTAAATAATAGTCAATTTGAAGATAAGATAAAATTTTCATTTAGATGTTGATTTTATTATTAATTAATTATAGAAATTGAAAATTAAATCTTTATAAAGAGCATTGCAATGCAAGTCATTTGACATTTTTCATGAAATGCTATTTTATTTTTTTTTGTTATTGATTTTGCTTTTGTTCTGTGCCATTTTAAAGAGCTATATTGAAAAACAAATGATATAAGCTTAAGGGATAGACATTTTTGTTGTTTTTTTGCCTTTTATTATATTTAAATATTTCATTTTTACACATCTTTGGCACTTGATTTTTATATATTCGATTAATATAATAATAATCGAATATATTTGATATATTTTGAAAATTTTTGAAAACTAAATAATTACATAATTTTTTTTTTTTCATGAAACTAATAAATAGAAAATTGAAATCACATTTTTTTTGTTTTTTTTTTAAATCACATTTGTATTAAAAATATTTAATAAAAACAAATACAAAAAATTGTCTATCCCTTTTGATTATAAACAATTTTGTTTTTGGTTCACATTTATTTTGGTACAAATCAAAAATTTCTTTTTTATACTTAGTCTATTTATAATTTTAATACAGGTTTCTTTTATAATTATTTATATATTTATATATTGTAATCTATCACTATAACACTTACTGTAACTTTACACAAATTACAGCAAACACCTGTATTATAATTATTATAACAAACAAATTTATGATTTGTATACATAATATGACATATAATCTTTCTGTTTGCATAAATTATCGGTCTTTTACACTATCAGTTTAATATTGATATAATATGACATATGACAGTATTATATATATTTTTTTTCTCTTTTTCTCTCTCTTTCTCTTTCTCTCTCCCTTTTTTCGCGCGCGCGATTTTTATTTTCGAAATATCGTACAATAATATATATATATATTTAGTATACAGCCACTACGACGGCCCTCAGAACTTTGGGATTTCACAAAAATGCCTCTAAAAGACACTCTTAATTATTGTATATTGGTGAGGAGGATTTTTGTACGATATTTTAAAGTTGTGTGGAAATAATTATTGCAATAAAAATAGATTCGTTACGCTTTTCTTTATTTTCTCTTTTTTCTAAAGAAAGCTTCGATTTTATAATTTCCATGTGAAGAAAATATGGGGGATTTATTATTTTTTTTTTTTTTTCATTGCTTAATTCGGTAATTGAGTTGAGGCCAAAATTGGATATACATTCAAGCAGGAAATAATAATTTATTTTCATTATCATTAATAAATAAAGGGTAATTTTGAATTATAAATTTTGCAAGTTAGAATAAATTTAAAAATAAAATTTTAGTTTTAATTATTGTGTGATTTAGTAAATAGTTTCAAAAAACCAAAGCAATTGTAGATTTTTATGTATTATTGTACAATAATAATTTTAAAAAAAAATTATTTTTAATCATGAAATATTTTTTTTCTTCAAAACTTTATTCCTTTTCTTTCTTTTTTTATTTTTACTTTGAAAAAATTAATTTATTATCGAAATATTCAAAAATAGTTTTCTAATAGAAAAATTTTCAAAACGGTACAATTAATAGTTTTTAATAATAAAATTGAAAACGTCATATAATTTAAATATGTGAATTTTCGTATCGTATTGACTATATTCTAACATTTAACAATCAACATTCAAACACACCCGTTCAATGGAACACGGAAACGATTTTTCCCGGATGATGTTTAAAAATGTATTTTCTCTTTAAATTTTAACGGATAAATAACACTTTTTATGTGCACGGTAATTAAAAATACAAAAAAAAAAAAAAAAAAAAAACGAGCTTTGCCGGTAAATCCCGTTTCCATTATGGCCTCGACGAGTTGTTATAGGGGAATTTATACATTATACAATAATACATCGTCGACTTACATTGAAAATATATCGCCATGTGGATATTATCATTATTTAAAATCCGTTATACAATTAACGTATCGATTTGCGCTTTTTTTAATTTTATTTTTTAAACTCGTGATAACCAAACGGCTTCTGAGTAATTTTTGAAAAAAAACAACGAATTTTTTGCGATTCGATGTTATTTAAAATTAATATGTTTTTTCTTTTCTTTTTTTTTTGCAATATAAAGTGGATTTTATTTTTTTTTTTTGAATCAAGAGTCAAAGATCCTGATCTCAAATGCCGTGAGGTATTTATTTGTTATTGTTAAACTATTTTTATTTTTATTTTAATTTATACTTTTTTCTTTCTTTGTAAATTCTATAATTCTCTTTTGTTATTACATATACATAGTCTATGATTGGACCATCTGTCAGCCATTACAAGCACAGCCCGACCAAAAATTTTTATTTATTATTATATAAATTTGCAGATTTTTTTTTTCATATTATTGCGAGTTGAAAAATTCTTTACTGCTTTTCTTATAGTCAAGACGATTTAGTTCATTGAAAAATAGAGATGTGAATAACAAAAAAAGAAAAATTAGTACTATAATAAAAAATTTATAATTAATTATAATTTCAATTTATTGAAAAATAGAATTAAATTTAGCTTTGAAAATTATAATTTATTGTTTTGTAATTTAAATCAATATAAATTATAATTATATTACAAATTTTATTGTTTCTCGAAATTAATAATTTTGTTAATTAAAGAAAATTCTCTTTTTTTTTTGCAAAATAACAAATATTCACATTTCTAAAGAATTATTTTCATTGAAGTAATTCGACTTGTTTAATGTTTCCCTTGCATTTCTATATTTTTTTTGAAAATAGGTAGTCCCTTGGAGAAAAAGAATTTTTTTTTTCAAAGTTAAAGATAGATATTACCACTAAGAGATTTTTTTTTATACAATAGTCATCAATAGATAGATATGCGAACATATAAATACGGATATTCCGTATGTATATAGTATATATATATGTAAAGAGCAACTCAAAAGTTTTGATTCAATTCTTTCGCGAAGTATAATATTTTACTATACACACATATACATATATATATTTATCGTCTATGTCTCTCGTGGAAACAAGTTTTGAAACGAAACTTTAAGGATAACAACGACGTCTCTAGTACCCTTTAAATATGCAGATTCAAAGTTTTTGTTTAAAACAAATATATACAGAGAAATTACATGTTTAAAAACAGTTTAACTTGTAAATGAGAATTGAAAAAAAATGTGATAAAATCTGCTTATTTTAAAAGTTTAAGAAAATCATTTTGAATTCTATGCAGAGGAAAAAAATCAGTAAAATCCGAATGATTTTTTGTTCCTTTAAATTGTTTTTTTTATTTTAGTTGTGTATTTATATTATATTCTTTTTTCAGATAAAAAAAAACAGTTTATTGCAAAAGTACCAGCAAAAGAAAGACTAATTTTTTATTTAATCAACTTTTTTTCCAATTCTATATTATTCTTTTCTCTTGTCTAAATATATTTTATTTTTTCTACTTTTTTTTTAGTATTCCGATTACGAAGAATGAGAAATTAAATTATTTATATTTTTTTTTCTTTTTTTTTTTTATTAGTTTTGCTCTTTGTTATTTGGACCAGGGCTGTTCTAAGAGAGAGATATATAAAGATAGAACAATTTATATTAGAATAAATTTGTGGTACCATTTTTTTTTTTTTTGAAATAGTTTTCTACTATAGACATTTTACTGCTGGTGCTACAGGTACAATACATGCACAATAGATTGGGCGATAGATTTTTTTGTTTTCTTTTATATAGAGTAGAAGTAGAATCTAATTTTTTTTTTTTGCTTCTTTATCACTAAATTAGATTTTTTTCCAAAGGGATTCGAAGATTTATATTTATCTAAATAGTACTTTTTTGGGGGCCTTTCCTGACTCTTTTCTCTTAATAATTTTCATTTTTTTTTACATTTATATTATACGGAAAAACTTCAAAGACATGTGGTAGTGATCGACTTGATATGAGACAACATTCGATGTTTATCTCAATTTTTACATTTAACTTATATATATATACGTATTATATTAATATTACGCAACGTTGCTAATAATCGAAATTTCAATTTTTATTAAAAATTTAAAAAAAAAATTTTCATATTTATATTATAAATAAAAATAATAGAAAAATTATATCATAAAAAGTTTAGTTAATGAATATTTTTAATTAGAAAAGAAAAGAATAAATGAGGAATTTTTTTTTCTCTTATTAGCAGCGTGAATTTTTTTTTTTTAAGACTAAGCTTAATGTGCCCTAATTGTCACAAAAATAAATATACTTTGCATCATGTTTTTTTACTCACTATATAGATACAACAATCCACAAAATTCTTCGTCGGCTTTCGAAGCTACTTAACGAGAATTTAAAATAATTATTATTTTCTAAACATTCGAATCGTCGTGCATTCATAATATATATTTACTTTCTCACTTACGTCTGAGAATAACTATTTATATATTTATATATTATTTCTCTGTCTATACAAATTTTATTTAACGTCAAAGTCATATTTTTCTATTATCAGATAAAAATATACAAGTTTTTGAATAAAAATAATTTATAACGACTTTATTTTCCAATTTAATATTTTTTATCTCTTTTTTTTTCATCGAATTTTCGAATTTGAGTGGAAATTTTGGAAATTTCCATCAATTTTTAAATTAAATTGAACTTAGGCATTACTTTAAAAAACTACTTAATGAAAATGATTTAATTTAATTAAAAAAATAATTTCATTTTCAACGAAAAAAATAGTAAAATATTTTTTTGATTTCTGAAGAGAATCATTGACACTATCATTTAATAATCACTGAGCATCGAATAAGTTATTATTTGAAATATATATATTTATATTTATTTTGAAAATATTTCTATATATCGACACCATTTTCCACATATTATTTTTTTTTTTTTTTTTTTTGTAAAAAGTATTTGTCTATAATTAGCCGCATTGAATGTAAAGTGGCCGACAAAAAGCCTCTGGTGTCATTGTTAATATACATTATAAAATGAAAATATGAGAAAATATTTGGAAAAAAAAAACAGACGCGCAATAAAAATGTTCAGTACTTGCATTTTCACTTTAAGCTAAATTATGGCTATAAAATACTAACGTTTAATGATGCTCGTTTTATTTCTTTTTATTTTCAAATATTATTCAACACAAAGCTATTGTTTGGCACTGTGTTTTTTTTTTAAAAAAAACTTTTTTTAGTAAAATTAAATATTGTTGTCGGACGTATATATCGTTTGAAATTTAATTTACTTCCACTATCTTTATGATTAAATCAACTACAAAAAGAGGCGATCAAATTTCTTTTTTTTTAAATTTACATTTTATTTTTTGAGGTTTTCTTTTTTTTTTATAATTACAAATATGAAAAAATTTGATGCTTTACTGGTTTGAAATTAAAAAAAAGTGAAATGTAAGTTTTAATATTTTGATTAAAAGTATTTTATATTTTCCATTCATTAAATTCGTATAAAAAAAAACCTCAATATTGAAAATTTGAAATAAAATGCTTGTTTTTTGTTTTTTTTTTTTAAATCATAAACGAGATATTTTCTTTTAACGATGTACTATTTTCCACGGGAACAATGGCAGGTGTCGATAGTTGAGCTTCTTCTACAACACTTCTTTTTCTGTTCTCTTTGTCAAATTACAACATTCTCCTTTTCTTTTTTTTTTTTTTTTTGTTTCATTTCTGGAAACTGGAGCAAATGGTTGTGTGTGAAAAATTCACAAACTGTCTTAGAAACGTCAAATGTCGGAAGTTTTATTTTCTTTTTTTTTTTTGCACACATCCGCAAAAAATTCGAATGGTATTTATATCAATTTCCGTTTGGCAATAAAAAGGGACTTTTTTCAAGTCCATATGGCGTGTTAAGAGATCGTATCGAGTGTCAGAAAGCCGTATCAAAGGCCGCTATATTGGTAGAAATATCAGGATCAGCTCGACATGCCTCTAGGAATTCGGAAAGTGTTACAACACCATCTTTGTTTCCATCCATTTTCTGCGAAATGACAAATTATTATTAATTATTTTTATAATTAATTTTTTTATTTTTCAGTATTTATTAGTATTTTTTATCATTTAAAATTATTTTTTAATTATAATTAATTAATTTATTTTTAATTCAACAGGAATCGAACAGAGAATGTTTTTCACTACTCTAACCAATTGGGCCAAAGGAGACATTTTTTAAATTTGATAGAGGAAATTTTTTTCAATTTGAATTAGTGACTTCTCTCAAACAAAAATTAATTGAATTGTTTAAATTCTTTTTTTGCCTGAATATACAAAAAAAAAATTAATTAGTGATTAGATTGATGTGGATTTTATTAGAAAATAAATATTGCACAGTAGTGCATAGTGGTGTCGATGATCGACTTTAGAATTGAGGTTTAAAGTGGAGAAGGTGAGTGAACGCTTGAGGGTTAATTGAAAGCATAGATTTCGCAGGCACTGGGTTCATCATCATTGAGCCAGGAGCAATTTCATTAAAACTGTTACAAAACAACGTGTGTGTAAAGGCTTCGTTATAACAAATCTGAAAAAAATAAAATCAAATAAAATTTTATCACATTTTAAATAAAAATCAATTTAGAATTTAAAAAAATTTTTTCAATTATTTTCTCATTTATAAAAAAAAAATAGAAATTTTTTATCAAAATATAAAAATTTTTAAAATGTAAATTATTTTTTAAATAAAAAAATTTTGATATTAAAAATGAATAGTGGAAAAAAACAATTTTTTTTTGAAGTAAATTATTTATGTTAATAAAATAAAGGTAATTTTTACTTCATTTAAAAAAAAAAAAAAAAAGAAGTAACATCTCTTCTGAAATTGTGGTTTTTATGAGCAATAGAGCGCATTCCCTATGTATATATAGTATATATAAAATAATCCAGATTAGCGCGGATCGTGCTACTTGGTTTTTAATTAAAGCTCGTAGGAGCATCCATATAAATGTGCATTTTATACGCTTGATGAGCACGTTCAGCTTTCAAGTTATTGCAAAAGACAATTAATTAGTAATGATTGATTCTTTCTGTAAAATATTTTCACTTTTTTCATATATAAAAAAAAAAAAAAAATTGTAACGAATAATAATGTCAGGTAGAATGCATTTTTTGTTTTATTTATATGTAGAGAGAGAGAGAGAGAGACTAGGATATATTTTCCATATGAAGTAACAAGATTCATTGTTATTTATTTACTCAAATAAAAAAAAAATAAAAAAAAATACGAGCGTTTAAAAATATCCGGTTAGTAACGAAAAAAATGGTACACACAGAAAGAGCTTTATAGAAATTAACATGAAAAAGAATTAAAAAAAAAAAAGTGTATATTTTTTAAAAATATTGCCAAAACAAAAGATATCACGTTTTATATTTATTCATTTTTTTGCCAACACTTTTTTTATGTAAAATATCTGGATTCGAATTTCAAATAAATAATCTCAAACTGGAAATTACGTACATATGTGATTTTTTTTTGTGAGAATTTTCTTTTTTCGAGATCTCTCTGATGTTTGTAAAAAGGAATTTTTCAAGCTAAGGAGAGACATTTTATACTTTTTATCCAGTATATATTTGCACTATAGAGAAGAAGATACCACCAATATGTTTTGATCAAAAAACCTTTTTCTCGACTTGTGCGCCACGTATAAAATTTGATATCATTTGCGAAGTTCATTTTATATATATATATTTTTTGTTTTGATGAAATTTTATTAAATTTTCTTTCTTTTTTTAGGAAAATAAAATTTTATTTCAAAATTTTTGATTTTTAAATTCAATTACAGCAAGAATTAGTTTTTAATAGTAATATAATTTTAATTACTGAAATAACATTTAATTAATACTAATTTAAAAAACGGATTAATATTTAATTTACAATAAAAAAAAATTATTTTATAAAAAAATGCTATCTAAAAAAAAAATTAAAAACAATTCTATAAAATAATAATCCATGGAAATATTTCTGTTTTCCGTAAATAAATTAATTTTCTGCTATATTTTATCAAGGTTTAAGAGAGCTCACAATTTTTTTCTTTTTTTCTTTTTTTAATCAAAAAAGATAAGTTTTGTGAAAAATAGTATGCATTAGATTAATTAATGTTGGGAATGAGCCGCACGGATCAAGCATATGATCTCGAATAAAATGTAGATTCATTCTTGTCTGCGCAAGTTGTGCACAAAAAAAAAAAAAAAATTCTGACAATGATGAACTATCATTTATATGCGCGGAATAAAAACATCAGTTTCTGTGGAAATAAAAAAAAAAAAAAATAGAAATTTGCCAAATGTTACCGATTTTTATATTTTGTCAAATAAATTAGAATCGTTGATAATATAAAAGTTTATTGATTTTAATGCACACGAGCATATCGAAGAAAGAATATATAACATTTTCTGAATTCATTTCAATATATGTATATTATAGAAATCGGAAATATGAAAATTTATGCAACAGGAAACGAGAACAAACAAAAAAGAAAATTCCAATAAAATCCATTTCGTTTTATTTGTCGCAAAATAAAACTAAAAAACAAAATTTCAATCTTAATTAATTTTATTTGAGTCGTAAAGAAACATTTTTTTTTTTTTTTTTGGTGAATTAATATTTTTTCTAATTTTTTTTATTCTGATTTCTATTATATAAAATGTAAAATAATTTATTTCAAAATAAATATAAATAAAAATCGTTTTATTTAATAATAAAATAATTTTTATTTATATTTATATAGAAGGAAAATATAATCACAAAATAATAAGGAAAATAATGAAAAGGGAAAAAAAAATTTAAGAGAATAAGAATAATGAGAAAGGATAAAAAAAAAATTTCAATAATAAAAGAAAAATAATTTCCATAATAATAAAAATCAAATTATAGAAAAAAAGTAACAAAATATAATAAAAGATAATAAAAATTGAATTAGAAAAGAATAAATAAAAAATATACTTTATAGAATAATAAAATAAAATCTATTTTTTTTTTTTCATAATTCCCCCCAAGAATTAAAAAATCGTTGGAGATAAAAAAAAAATCAGGCTATGTATTTACAATCTATGGAGGAGAAAAATATCATTATTTTAAGCACGTTTCTCTTATCTTAGGGAAATGAATTCATACAATCAGTGTAATCGGACGGGATTCTAATTAAATGAATTTTTTAAAATAAAAATTGTTGTTTTGCATTTAAAGTTGTTTGAAATTATATATTTTAGATTTGTAATAAATTATTTCTGATAGAAAGTGAAATTATTAGAACACATATTGGAAAACAAAGTCCAACAATAATTGATATGTTAATAAGTTCAATCAAGTAGATATATATATGTATATATATTGTTGACCATTTGAAACGTGATTTATATAATCAAAATTGCAAATTTTGATCTTTATATAAAACATCAGTTTTATGCTTTCAAAAATTTATTATTTACCAAAAATTTATACGATTATCCTTATTTGCATGCAATTCATTTCAATTTTAAATGAATGGCCAAAAATTAATTACAAAGTTAATTATTTTAATTAAATGTCATTAATTACAAAATAAATTTTTCATATTTATACAATTATTAAATAAAGTATTTAATTTTTATACACTGAATACAAAATCATTAGTCGTTTTTATTTAAAAAAAAAAATAGAAAAATCAAATAAATTTTTTAATTATTAAAATAATTTTTTTTTTTTATTCTTTTTTTTAATTAGAAAAAATAAATTTTTAAACTGACGCTAATTGATTAAAATATCTTGGGAGAAAATGAGTTTTAAATTAAGTTTACACTTGATAAATTAGTAATTTATTAATGCCCTAAAGTCATGAGTGTATAACATTCAGTTGAATAATGTATAATATCTGTAGATAATGAAATGTACGCGAAAGGAGTTTAAACTAAAATGTTCGATATCGTAATAAAGTTTAGGTCACACGACGCGAAACCAAGTCCCCTGAGGGTCTTTAGATATAAACTGACAGTATTTTTTTTTTTCTTCTTTTTTTTCTGGCATTATATAATTCAACTTCAATTAATTAAATAATTGTTTTAAATATTTTCTAAAGAAAAAAAAAAGAAAGAAAATATTCTTCACAGGAAAAAAAATTTAACTGCAACAGCGAAATTATTCAGCAAAAGTTTTAATTGTTAAATATTTCACTATTTTAGAGAAACCTTTCGCTGTTTCAGATAAAGTTTTTGTTTTTCACGGATATATGAAATTGAAAATTAATTTTTTTCTTATTTTGAAATTTTTTTTTTGTGATTTAATGAAAATTCATTGAACGACATTGGTCGAGACAGTTGGACAATTTTGAGGATATTGATGTTTGCCCATGAGAACGAAAAGGGAATTTGACAGATTAACACGATCATACGTGTAATTATTCTGAAACGAGAACTTGGTATAATTACGGTTTCCTCATATGAAATTCGTAGTGTCTGCTTTTCATTATATCTCCAGTTCAAAATTAATTGTTAACCATACAATAGCAATATATGATTTCAATTACAAATTGATTCGTCTATATAAATCTGTCATTATAAATCGTTTTCTTTATATATTAATTTGTAAAAAAAAAAAATCATCATTTCTAAAAATAATTTGTATTAAAAAATAAAAATTAATAAATAAAATTTATTTAAAAATTCTTTGGTTCAAGTATAAATAAAAATAAAATAAATTATTTCTAACCAATTTTTTTTTTCTAAAAAAGGTCATTTAAACTAAATTTTTTTTTAAATATTAAAAAAATGAGAGTAAAAAAATAATTACTTACCAAAAACATTCTATCTACTTTTTCACGTACTACTTCATGATTTAGGCTAGTATCCGCAAATTTTCCCAACAATTCGTAAACTGCAGTAACAATATCCGTCATTTCTTCTCTAGTGATACATCCATCTCCATTGATATCATATAAAGAAAATGTCCAACGAAGTTTTTCCTCTATTGATCCACGGGAGAGTATGCTAAGACCCGTAACAAAGTCCTGTAACATATATCAAAAAAATATATTTTTTTAAAAAAAAATTTTATTTAAAAAAATTCTATTTAAAAAATTTTATTCAAAAAACATTTTTTTTTTTTTAAATTGGAAATTACAAAATTTTTTTTTAAAAAATTGGAAATTACAAAATTAAAAAATATTATTTTTTTTTTTTGTTAATTTAATGAAAAATTAGATAAAAATTAAAGAACAAACATTTATCACTGCAATATCAGTGTAAAATAAATTTACTGTGAAGACGACGTAAAATATTTAGTGTATATGATATATATATATATATATATATATATGTGTGTGTCATTTATGAGGTAAAAATTTGAACATCATTTATGCGTCGATTAGCAAGGCAGATTTTTAATGGTATAACTTCGACCACAAAATAGAATTTTATAGGTACTATACGAGCATTGTGAGTGCTCGTAAAATTGTAAAAGTACCCCCGAAGGCTTTTTCAAAGTTCGTATAATCATTGCACGCATCTGTCGTTTTCAAGAAGAGAGAGAGAGAAAAAAAAACGTCGCACCAGATTGATTGGTACTTAACAATTCATTTTTTTCAAAAAAAATTTTAAATTTAACAGAAAAAAAAATTTTTTTTTCTTCAATTAAAAAAAATATTATTGAAAACAAATTGAAATATTTTTATATTCAAAAAAAACATTCTTTATTTATTAAAGAGAGTAATTAACATTAATTTTTTTTAAAAAATTTTTGCTTTAAAATATATATATATAGTCGTTGAGGAATAATAGTCTCACAGTATATTAAATATGATTATAATTATGGATAACTTATGATGATTTTGATAACATATGATACTCCACAGGTAGTAAACTTTAACTGCACAGTTCATAGAGGTAATTTGGAAATTTGATTTGCCTCTAAAATCTTTTAGATAATAATTCTCTATTTCTGAATTGAGTACTTACATTAAAGGGAAGCAATTTCAGTTTATTATTAGTAGAACAAGTCAATGTATTGTCAGTAAAACTTATTTTTTAATCAAAATCAAATGTGTAAAGTATTAGAAAATAGTGTAAGTAAAATAAAAAATACAGTCAAAGTGAATTTCAAATTGTAATTTTTTTTTTTAAATTATTTTAAGTGGTTTAAGTCAATAAACGATCAGCCGTAGTATAATTTAAATTGTAATATTTTTTAAGAGGTATTTTAAGTAGTGAAAGTCAATTAATAGTCAGCCAATATGAATTTTAATCTTTAATTTTGCCTAAATATTATTTTAAGTGGTGTAAGTCAATGAAGGATCAGACAAAGTATAATTAAAATTGTAATTTTTTACTAAATGGTATTTTTTTAGTAGTACAAGTCAATTAATTATCAGCCAATGTGAATTTCAATCAAGAGTTTTGTGTAAGAAGTATTTTAAGTAGTATAAATCAATAAATAATAAGAAAAAGTAATTTTTTATCTCCAATTTTCTATATATATAGTATTTTTAAGTAGTGTAAGTCAATAAACGATCAGTCGGAGTATAATTTAAATTGTAATATTGCCAAAAAGGTATTTTTTTCAATAGTGTAAGTCAATTAATAGTCAGACAATGTGAATTTTGATCAAGAATTTTGTGTAAAAACTATCTTAAGTAGTGTGAGTCAATGAACAATAAGCCGAAGTATAATTTATATAGTAATTTTGCCTAAGAGGTATTTTTAAGTAGTGTAAGTCAATTAATAGTCAGACAATGTAAATTTCAATGAAAAATTTTGTGTAAAAAGTATTTTAAGTAGTGTAAATCAATAAATAATCAGGCAGAGTAATTTTTTATCTGGAATTTTCTGAAAAAAGTATTTTTTAAGTAGTGTAAGTCAACAAACGATCAGCCGAAGTATAATTTAAACTGTAATATTGTTTAAGAGGTATTTTAAGTAGTGTAAGTCAATTAATAGTCAGCCAATGTGAATTTTAATCTTTAATTTTGCCTAAATATTATTTTAAGTGGTGTAAGTCAATGAAGGATCAGCCAAAGTATAATTAAAATTATAATCTTTTCAAAATGGTATTTTTTTAGTAGTACAAGTCAATTAATTATCAGACAATGTGAATTTCAATCAAGAATTTTGTGTAATAATTATATTAAGTACTATAAGTCAATAAATAATGAGGAAAAGTAATTTTTTATCTACAATTTTCTATATAAAGTATTTGTAAGTAGTGTAAGTCAATAAACGATCAGTCGGAGTATAATTTAAATTGCAATATTGCCAAAAAGGTATTTTTTTCAATAGTGTAAGTCAATGAAGGATCAGCCAAAGTATAATTAAAATTATAATCTTTTCAAAATGGTATTTTTTAGTAGTACAAGTCAATTAATTATCAGACAATGTGAATTTCAATCAAGAATTTTGTGTAATAATTATATTAAGTACTATAAGTCAATAAATAATGAGGAAAAGTAATTTTTTATCTCCAATTTTCTATATATATAGTATTTTTAAGTAGTGTAAGTCAATAAACGATCAGTCGGGGTATAATTTAAATTGCAATATTGCCAAAAAGGTATTTTTTTCAATAGTGTAAGTCAATTAATAGTCAGACAATGTGAATTTTGTGTAAAAACTATCTTAAGTAGTGTGAGTCAATGAATGATCAGCCAAAGTAATTTTTCATCTTGCACCATTTCTGTTAAGTATTTTAAGTATTATGAGTAAATTTCAAGTGAATTTTAATCTTTAACTTTGTCTAAAAATTATTTTAAGTAGTACAAGTCAATGAACAATCAGCCGAAGTATAATTTAAGTAGTAATTTTACCTAAAAGGTATGTTTAAGTAGTGTAAGTCAATTAATAGTCAGACAATGTAAATTTCGATGAAAAATTTTGGGTAAAAAGTATTTTAAGTAGTGTAAATCAATAAATAATCAGACAGAGTAATTTTTTATCTGTAATTTTCTGATTAAAGTATTTTTTAAGTAGTGTAAATCAACAAACAATCAGCCAAAGTATAATTTAAATTGTAACTTTGCCTAAGAGATATTTTTAAGTAGTGCAAGTCAATTAAATGTCAGACAATGTGAATTTCGATCGAGAATTTTGTGTAAGAAGCATTTTAAGTAGTTTGAGTCAATGAACGATCAGCAGAGGTAATTTTTGTTATTGAAATTTTAACTTAAAAATTATTTTAAGTAGAACAACTCAATTTAATGTCAGCCAATATAATTTTCAGTATATTATTCTAGAATCTTAAAAAAAATACTTTGAGTGACACAAGTCAATAAACAATCAGACAAAGTTTATTTTTAAATCAGAATTTAGTCAATGGATTTATTTTAAGTGGAACAAGTCAATGCAACGGTCAGCCGTAGTTATTTTATTATTTAGAATCTTGATTAAGTGATACTTTAAGTGGTGCAAGTCAATAAAAAATCAGCCAAAGTGAAAATTTAAAATTATTACATTGTGACATTAAGAATATAAAATGTATGAAAAAAATATTCATAAAAGAATAATTTTTTTTTTTGAATGTGTATTTTATTAATTTTTCTTATCCTGTAATTTAATTATACGTGAAAAATAATTAGCAAGTTCTTAACATTGTTTGTTTGTTATATTAATATAGAAATTTTTTTTAAGTTTCATGATCAATAAAAATGTATTAAATTTTCATTTTATTAAAAATATAATATTTCCAACTATAGATAAATATAAAGTAGAAATAATTTATATATTAAAAGATAAATGCTCTCCTTGGGATTATACTCCTAAGGCTTTTATATACTTTTCATAAATCTGTCTAGATAAAGATACCACAAGCTTATATATATATATATATATATAGATTCGTGTAATCATTGCCTTTCGATCGACAATTGAAAGTTATCATTAGTTAACCAACCTCCTAAAACCTACATTCAAAATCCCCTATCAGAAGCTATTGCAACATCACTAAATCCAAAGCTTTAATTCATTGAAATCGAAATTCCCCTGAAAATACAATTCATTTTCAAACTAAAACTCACGCGGCTCAATAATCTTTATATATATATATATATATATATATATATATATATATATATATATATATATATACGTTAAAATGTTGAATAAAATAAGGAAAAATTAAATTAAATAAAAAAAAAATTAAAATTAATGAGATAATTCTTTTTATTAGTATACAGATTTAATTAGATGCTACTTATTATCAAAATGAAGGTAAATTTTTCTAATTATTAAGGTTTCGGGGCCCAAGCAACCGTTGCTAGGCATTTTTTCCTTAGCAACAGTTTCTAAGAATTTTGTTTCCTTAGCAACGGTTGCTAAGGAATAATTATTAGGGTTTTTCTTTCCCTTATAATTGAACGATTAATTATTTCAAGGATTCATGAGATCAGTGAGTTATTTATGAATGTTATTTTTATTTCTGATTTATTTATGATTTCTAAAAAGGGGAAAAAAACAGAAACAAAGATCTTTCTTGACGTGTGAAGATCGTAAATGGAGGAAAGTTTCTATCCCGGATGTATAAGTGAGATTAAACGTTACTCGTGAAATGTTCACTTGGCTTAGTGGTTCAACTGAAATTTATACAGTGTGCATCCTCCTTTGTTTCCGCATGTAAACTTCACCACTTCCTTGACCTTTTCTCTTATACTTATTATTATTATTATTATTATTATTATTATTTTTATTTTAAAAATTTTTTAATGTATTGTTTCACATACAGTAATTTTTTTTTTTTTTTTAAATATATTTTAACAAAAGATTTTCATATTATATACAATATATAATGAAAACAAAAGGGGAAAAATTCATAGCAAAAGAAAAATAGTAATTACAATACCATTTAATTATGGTAAATGGTATAAAAATGAATAAATGCATTTTTTTTTTTAAATTGAAAAAGTTATATGTATATAGAAACTTTTCTATATTGTGAAAGGTAAAGTATGGACATTCAATTTGAGAATTTCATGCGATGGGGACAATTCGTAAAACGAGTGCGATACAGTTTGCATATATATATATA